CACATAATGCTGTGACCCATATATCAGCATAGCATATGGTATATTTCAGACATTTGTAACGAATTGATCCGCTGTGGTTCAAGGTGGGAAGTCGAGGGGGATTCGAGATTCATTTATAAATAATAAGGCGGCAGACCAATTGCTGGAAGTTTGTAATGTGTTAAGGAAAATACATTGCCATACTTTTTAAATGCACAAAATGTATTTAGACGTGTTGAAAAAAGTTTCTTTTTACAAGATATTTTATCAGTTTTGTCTCTTCTATTTAGTTAAATACAACGAAACTTACAAAAAATGACAAACATCAAGCATTCCACCAAGTCCCCTTTACATGTACAATGTCTTTTACCATTAACGTTATTATTTCTTAAATTTTTTCTACCCTTTAATTGTATTTGTATCTAATGAAGGCGTTAATTGCACTTATTTTTTGTAAACAAATGATACATGGTAATAAATGATAAATGCATACTTGCCAACCTTTTGAATTTTTGTTATGGGGGAGAAGCTGTGTGCTCAAAATCAAATATTACAAAACATGAATAATTATAAAAGATGTGTATATGCCCTAGGTAAAAAAAAAACACTTTAGAGTGTCAATCGTCTTTTTATTTGTTCTTTCTGATGAAATCATTGGGTATCAGAATAGTTAAGCAAGTTTACTGGCTGAAAATGGTCAATTCTAGCACAGACTTAGATAGTAATCTAATTCCGTGGGTTGACCTATGAGTCGAAATGTGTTAAGGGGACGTAACTCACGAGATCTGGAAAAATAAGCTACATGTAGATCTATAGGATTCGTCATTTCACCAAGGAATTAGACTAGACCTAGGTCCATGACTTTGACTAATTTTTGTATGTTTCACTTTTGAAAACGTGTGAAAAAATCAGTTGAAATAATATTAAAATGAAAAATTGATTAACTGATTACATGTAACATTTTAGTTAATTTTCAATCACATGTATAATCCATTCAGATATGTGGTCACAAACACTAGCTATAGACCATTGTTATACCTGGTCACAAACTCTACCTATAGATCATTGATCTGCATGGTCACAAACTCTAATTATACTATAAACTACTGAGATACCTGGTCACAATTATATAAATATCACATTCATGAGAGGGCGATATTGCATATTTTCACCCCAAGGAAGCATTGTTAACCGAGGCGAAGCCGAGGTCAACAATGCTTTCCGAGGGGTGAAAATATGCAATATCGCCCTCTCATGAATGTGATTTTTATTTTATTATACCGAGTGTCATGTTTAGGTTAACAAACGCATCGCCAGTAGTCGACAAACGTTTCAGAAAAGTTTTCACTGGGATGAACCAGGGGCGCATACATTCTGCGCATGTAACAATTTTTGGAATAACACCCTGGCACTGGGACGAACCGTGCACGCATACGTTTGGCGCATGTGATATTTTTTGGAATAACACCCTGGCACTGGGACGAACCGTGCACGCATACGTTTGGCGCATGTGATATTTTTTGGAATAACACCCTGTCTTCTTTATCTTTGTAAAACGAGCAAGTAACATTGAAAATGTTCACATCTTTCTCAACCAATCAGATTACGAGATTTTAACAGAAGGTATAATAATACTAATTATAGTTCACTGAGATACCTTGACACGAAAACTTACTATAGACCACTGAGATACCTGGTTACAAACTCTCACTATAGACCACTGAGATACCTGTTTACAAACACTTATCATAGACCATTGAGATACCTGGTCACAAACACCTACATTAGACTTTTGACGTAACACTTCCTCAGAGATCAAGTCCAGTCAAGATTTTTTTTTTAAATATCAAGTTTGTGAGGTGTTTACATATTTGAGTTGTTAGTTTGTAAACAACTTCAAGGACGAGCACTGCTTTAATATGCTATTTGCATTCATAGCCTTACGCATCGAGCTGTGAAAGTTAAGTGTATAATTTACAAAATCATATAACATGTAGTATGGCAGGTTTTGACTGTAATGTATTGGAGGTAATTCAAAACCCTTGCAGCTGTGAACACGTCAGATTTGTTTTCAGAAGCTTAAATCATTAATATAAATTTGTCTTGAGCAAATCTAAGTAATTTCATAACTGATACACCCTTAAAAGGTCATAAAGGTCATAGTCATATGAATAACACACAGGGGCTCTGTTTCGGGATACTTTCGGTTAGTAATAAACCTATACACACCAATAAATAACAGCAACACTTTTTATATCCGGTGTTTATACACATTCTAAAACCTAATAAAAAATTAGGGTACTGAGGTTTTTTTTATACCCTCAATTTTTATAAGGTTTTCGAATGTGTATAAACACCGGATTCGATAAAAAAAATGTTGCTGTTATTTACTGGTGTGTATAGGTTTATTACTAACCGAAAGTATCCGGAAAATACTAACCGAAAGTATCCTGAAACCAAGCCCCTGTAGAATAACATCTTCTGATGTCGCTTACTTTATAGGTTAATTTTAGAGGTAATATTTGAAGACGCTTCAGGATCTCTAGAGCTCTACTCACACATGCGTGGCACCAAAATTTGGTAAAAATCTGCTCAGTCGTTTATGACAAGTAGCAATTTTTAGGAAAAGTTGCCGGACGCCGCGTCATGGCATAAGCTCACTTGCTCTTCGGGCAGGTGAGCTAAAAACGTATACGTTTACTATACGGAACTGGGGTTTGGTTCCCAGTTCCGTTTAAGTAAAAACGTAACTGGAGTTTGAATCTCAGTTCCGTATCAGACCAATTACTTTATAGAGGCTATGGTGGTCTTAATTTTCGTGTGAAAGGTTGTGGGTTCGATTCCTGTCCTTGATTCAGATATAAATACGGGCCTTTGACCTTCCGTTTTGCGAAGCAGACGGGGAAAGAATTACAAAAAACGTAAACGTTTACTATACGGAACTGGGGTCTGGTTCCCAGTTCCGTTTAAGGTAAAACGTAACTGGAGTCTGACACTGATTCCTGTCCTTGATTCAGATATAAATACGGGCCTTTGACCTTCCGTTTTGCGAAGTAGACAGGGAAAGAATTACAAAAAACGTAAACGATTACTATACGGAACTGGGGTCTGGTTCCCAGTTCCGTTTAAGGTAAAACGTAACTGGAGTCTGACACCGATTCCTGTCCTTGATTCAGATATAAATACGGGCCTTTGACCTTCCGTTTTGCGAAGCAGACAGGGAAAGAATTAAAAAAAACGTAAACGTTTACTATACGGAACTGGGGTCTGGTTCCCAGTTCCGTTTAAGGTAAAACGTAACTGGAGTCTGACACTGATTCCTGTCCTTGATTCAGATATAAATACGGGCCTTTGACCTTTCGTTTTGCGAAGTAGACAGGGAAAGAATTACAAAAAAACGTAAACGATTACTATACGGAACTTGGGTCTGGTTCCCAGTTCCGTTTAAGGTAAAACGTAACTGGAGTCTGACACTGATTCCTGTCCTTGATTCAGATATAAATACGGGCCTTTGACCTTTCGTTTTGCGAAGTAGACAGGGAAAGAATTACAAAAAAACGTAAACGATTACTATACGGAACTGGGGTCTGGTTCCCAGTTCCGTTTAAGGTAAAACGTAACTGGAGTCTGACACTCAGTTCCGTATAAGACCAATTACTTTATAGAGGCTATGGTAGTCATAAATTTCCTGTGAAAGGTTGTGGATTTGAGTTCCCAGTCGATTATAAGAGGCTGGCTATGATGTTTTTCTGAAACAGACCTAGTATTTTGGTCGAAGTTCGAATTATAGTGTTATTTCAATTTTAAACGGAACTAGTGTCTGGTTCCCAGTTCCGTTTATGTTAAACGGAACTATGGTCTGGTTCCTAGTTCCGTTTACATTAAACGGAAGTAGGGTCTGGTTCCTAGTTCCGTTTATGTTAAACGGAACTAGGGTCTGGTTCCTAGTTCCGTTTACCTTAAACGGAAGTAGGGTCTGGTTCCTAGTTCCGTTTATGTTAAACGGAACTAGGGTCTGGTTCCTAGTTCCGTTTACCTTAAACGGAAGTAGGGTCTGGTTCCTAGTTCCGTTTATGTTAAACGGAACTAGGGTCTGGTTCCTAGTTCCGTTTACCTTAAACGGAAGTAGGGTCTGGTTCCTAGTTCCGTTTATGTTAAACGGAACTAGGGTCTGGTTCCTAGTTCCGTTTACCTTAAACGGAAGTAGGGTCTGGTTCCTAGTTCCGTTTATGTTAAACGGAACTAGGGTCTGGTTCCTAGTTCCGTTTACCTTAAACGGAACTAGGGTCTGGTTCCTAGTTCCGTTTATCTTAAACGTTACTAGGAACTAGGAACTAGGAACCAACTTCAGGCTCCCAATGAAGTTTCCCTCTTTATCTGTTATTTGACTTTACAAAACTACCAGCCTCATTTAATCAGAATCACATATCAAACATATATGAAATATTGTATATATTTCTCGATTTTCCTGTTAACGGTGCAAGCTAATATTTTGGATATATAACATAGCTGATATAAAAAAAATCATTAGATTATTAATATTTTGTACTGTAGTGCTATACGAGGTTCTAGGATAACGTTATTATTCTAGAAACTGGTTCTCTGAAGTAATATTGGTGAAATGAAACGTAAACTTGGAAAATACCTTTTAAGAATAACTCACCTTAGACGTTGTTATTCTCGTCTGATCGATTCCTCCACCAATGTGCGTTGCAGTCTGTGACAATTTGGTATAAATAAAGTTTTAGTTATCGAGATAGGAGTTCTAAATCCTTCGACCAATCAAATGACTCCATTTAAACGTGTCTAGCAAGAGACAAACGTTGCGTGTTACACTAATATTACGAATGCGTTTCCCCTGTTCAAACCATGACATTGACAGGTTTAGGTTTCCCATGTTCTAACCATGACATTGATAGGTCGAGGTTTCCCATGTTGTAACCATGAAATTGATAGGTTGAGGTTTCCCATGTTGTAAACATGACATTAGTAGGTTGAGGTTTCCCATGTTCTAACCATGACATTAGTAGGTTGAGGTTTCCCATGTTCTAACCATGACATTGATAGGGTGAGGTTTCCCGTGTTCTAACCATGACATCGATAGGTTGAGGTTTCGCATGTTCTAACCATGACATTAGTAGGTTGCGGTTTCCCATGTTCTAACCATGATATTGATAGGTTGAGGTTTCCCGTGTTCTTACCATAACATTGATAGGTTGAGGTTTCCCATGTTCTAACCACGACATTGGTAGGTTGAGGTTTCCCATGTTCTAACCATGACATTGATAGGTTGAGATTTCCCGTGTTCTAACCACGACATTGGTAGATTGAGGTTTCCCGTGTTCTAACCACGACATTGATAGGTTGAGATTTCCCGTGTTCTAACCACGACATTGGTAGATTGAGGTTTCCTGTGTTCTAACCATGACATTGATAGGTTGAGGTTTCCCGTGTTCTAACCATGACACTGATATGTTGAGGTTTCCCGTGTTCTAACCATGACATTGATATGTTGAGGTTTCCCCATGTTCTTACCATAACACTAACCATGACATTGATAGGTTGAGGTTTCTTATGTTCTCACCATGACATTGATAGGTTGAGGTTTTCTATGTTCTTACCATGACACTTACCATGACATTGATAGGTTGAGGTTTCCCATGTAATTTAATCCGTGCTGAACGAATTCTGTGGATGCGCTGAACTCACCAAAGAAGGAATCAGGTCCGGTAACCAAAACCTGCCAAGGACTTCAACTCACTTGCTGATATATCGATGATGATGTGTTGAATTTAATATATACTTCGTTCTCTTCTGAATTGAATTCATGGTACTACATACTCCTGTACATAAGTAGCCCCTATCACGATGATGACTTTACACATCACCAACACGGACGGCTTACTACTGTAAGATAGATACCGATCATAAATACTCCCTTCCTCGAGAAAAACATCCATGTGCCCTACAATTTGTATTTGTCGTGGAAGACAACTGTGTTCAATGGCTACAAATATCACGATTCCCGTGACAGACGTCGACTGCTGACAGACAACCTTTCAACACAAGGTTTTTAAAGTGCCCCTTTAAGGTTGACGTGTTTTTTTTACTGTGCTAGTTAGTCATCCTTGTAGTTGTAGAGTTACATGGTGGGTGTTGTCATTGAAGCAAAGAAAATATTGTCTTATCCTATTAGCACTGAATTAGAGTACGAATTATTATTTTTAGTGAAAACATAAACAAATGTGGAAGTTTCTAATTACACAGCCAGCTTTAGTGTTCCAGCTTGACAAATCACATGTTAACATTGAACAATAAACGTCAGTAAGACATTCCTGTTATGTTTCAAGTCTAATAAACTTTATATGACATAAACAGCATTTTGTAACTGTTAAATCCTATAGGGCGTATAATAGCAACATGATTTCGTTTACTGAATAAAGGTTTGAGAAGCAATGTAACCAGATGTATATAGTTAGGTCTTTCAAATCATTTTCATTTAGCTCAATGAATAAATATCATTCATAGAAATAAAGAAGGGAAAGAACACTACATATTACAAGATAACTTGTAGAGGCGTTTTTTCGGAAACAGACATGTGTGAATAAGAATGCTTCAAAACGTAGTTAATGGTGACCTCGTCCGAATTATTCTGACGTTTTATCGACTTTTTTTTATATCGGTCTGTATCGACGACAGACCGATATAAAAAAGTCAATAAAACGTCAGAATAATTCGGACTTATGGTGACCATGTGTTTCGCATGCTATCTTACATAAAAACTTAACAAATCTGACATGTCTACGAACTATGGCGGGTGATGTAAACAAAGGACCACTCTGGTTAAAGTCGGATAATGACTTCAACCTGGGTTTTCTTCTGAACCAAAGGAAGAGGACATGTATCTAAGCAGTTATGCATCAATGATCAGAAGGAAATGTGCACTCATATAATATTACAGATATAGTTTTCTTTAACAAGCCATTCAGATTGATGCTTGTTTTTTTGGGTTTAACCTCTTTGCAACATCTAAAGTTATACGGGACATTGAGACCAAGTTAGAAAGACATCAATACCTTAATGTTTGTGTGTGATATTCATGTGTATGCGTAATGCGTGACAATTAATATGGCTTATGTTAACAAAACAGATATCATTTCATGTAAAAATGTCAGTAACATAACACAGGCATGACAAGGTGACTTTCGTGTGTTTTTTGGTGGGTTTTTTACGTCTATACATGGGACTTTTTGACAGAACAAAGATACAGCTGATATATTTTGATCATGTTGCTTCTGTCACATCACCAAAACGGCTGATGTAATTCATGATTTTCTCCATTCCCTCTGTTTTCGTTCTTAGAAAAACTATTTTTCTTTATGTCACTACAAAATGGTATGAACTTAAAACACATTTACGAACGGATAACACGTTGTCCATGAGCATTATTCCGTAGTCATTAAGAAAATAGTGATCGAACAAAACTGTCCACAAACTTTGTGTTGGCATAAAAGTCGGGGAAGGGGGCGCTTAAAGTTGCATGTTTTTCATAGGGTATGTATCGATATGCGGAGCTGAGGACGAGTCTGGAATTTATTTAATTTCAAGCACTGGCTGATTAAAAGGAAAGAAATCCTCCAGAAGTTGTTGCAATTTCTATACAAACAGTAGTCTACATGTATCTTTTTTCCTGAATTAAGATCCCAAAACAGATTAGCTGAAAGAGGTGTACAGTTTTCCCCATTGCAATACTGTTGTGTTCCAGCTGGTGATCAATGTCACTAAAACAACTTAACATATTTAAATGTTAGCACAACGAAAAGACAGCGTCACTTTAATCCCTGGTCATGTGTTCCTGAATAAGTAAAAAGAAAAACACAAATATTTTGTTATAGGTTGAAAAAATGAAATTTCGAATAACTTCTGTAAATGCATCGCAATATATGATTAGGATTGATTGTTTTTGTAGAAAATGACAATGACATTTTTCCTATCGATAATTATTGTCGGCTGAACAGTCGATCACGCACTCGCCTTTCACCAAGGCGGCAGGGTTGGATTCTCCATTCGGGGCTTCGGGGTTCTCCAGTTATCTCCAAAATTTTAACACCAACAAATCAGGCCAACAAGGTTGATTGATATAAATTGCTTCACAATTGTTGTAAAAGATGAAGTTTAAAGCCGACAGTACAAGTTAAAAAGCGTTCAATTCAGATTAAAAAAAAAATCAAAATTGTTTTTTTTTCTGGTTTTGAGATCTATCTTTGATGTATTCTATTTTAATTTTATTCATCTGACCTGATACAAAATGTTAGTAAAAAAAATCGTGAAAGTGTTATAATATATATATATATATATATATAGTATAGTAGTGTCACCTTGTAGTAACAAATGATAACCGGTTTGACGGGTAATGCGCTTTTTATACCCAGCGAGACCCATACTCGTTACCAAGGACAACTAAAACTTTGTCTCCGGTGACCTAACAAGCAATCAAGAACAAAAAGCAATATGCGTTTTATCTTAAGCTAAATAAACAGCATTCTTTATACATCAACATAAGTGTGTTGTTTTGACAAAACTAAGTGCAGTCTTTTTACATATTATTCTGGTTCGTATCGATCTCTCCTAGAACAACTTCTAATATTGTCGGACAAAGATTTACTCAAATGTTTTGCAGACATTTTAGATCAATTGAAATAACGGCAGCTACCTTTACGGTGTGATCCTTGAAAGATGTTTTTCGCAAATCCGTTAGCACTGAATTAAAAGCGTCCAAACGGCGATCATTTCATCTCGGTATCAAATGACATGTGTTGCAGTTGGCAGTGAAAATAGTGTTTTCCTTTGTGTAGGAGATTTACTGTCTGTACTAGGACTACCGGAAGATACTAGTTGAAACATATGTTGCCTATCTGTTACTATCGCCCTTTTTAACACAGTATTATGATCCGCTGTTGATACAGCCATTCCGGATTGATCGTATCCAAACTCCGAACGGAACTTCAAAGAAATGTTGCAAAGATTTTCCGTTCGGAGTTCGAATACGATCAATCCGGAATGACTGTAATATCATCAATCCAGAATAAATATTATTTAAGTCATTTACATATGTTTATGTAAATAATGTTTTTTCATCTTCATAGTTCGTGTTATTTCCAAAGTTCTTTTAAGTATTTTGAATTTGTTTATGGCAACATATTGCGCATATTTAATTTTATATCAGATTTATTGAACAGAAAAATAAATTAACAAAACCAGGATCAACTTTTTAAATGCATTTTCACATTTATTTATTTTATTTTATTTTATTTTTGAAGATTTTTTAACAGTATATAATACATTTACAATTCATTTTTCCATACACATACACACACTCATTCAATTTCTAGTCATTAGCAAAAATTCAACACTATATTAAAGATACATAATTGTTTTATGTTCTATGTAGTTAATAGTGTAATTGCATATAATTGTGATACGTACTGTTTTTAGGAAAGGAGAGACAACATAGAGAAGGAGAACTTGAATAAGAGGGAGAAGGGGTACATGCTGACATGACAAAGGACTTTGATGTATTTATGAAAAGAAATAACTCGTTCATGAATAAAGTCTCTCATTATTGTTATTTTTATTATAATATTATATTTTCACATTTTCTGATAATGTGGTAATATATTAGACAAATGTTTAGCTTACGAAGTGCTTTATCAGTTACATACCTTGGGGGTTGTTTACTCGACTACCGCTAGTTGGCAGGAGGAGGCAGCAGAACCAAGTTCCATGCTGGATTTAATTAAAACACAGTAATATTTACATTTCTGTTAAATGATTTATCAAAGCTAAGGTCATGCCAGAAAACAGCGTTCCAAATGTACTAGCAGCTTTATCAGTGGTACGGGGGTCCTTCATTTTGTTTTTATTTCATACCCCGGAATTGATGCTGGCTTCCAAATGTCCCTGATTCTCAACATGAGTTAGGACGTGATGTTGCTGGCCTGGATGGACCCTATACTATTATACTTCACCCTTGCTTCCAAAAATTCCGCTTCAACGGGGAGTGGGTGGGGGTGGGGGTGGGGGTGGGGGAAGGGTGGAGTTAGCAACCTTGATACAACTATATACTAGTATTATTATCAAGGTTGCTAACTCCGCCCCCCACCCCCCACCCCCCTTCCTAGTAAAATGACCAAGTTCCAGAAAACATGCGCTTTTGTCATAACCGGAGTTAGCAACCTTGATTATATTATAGGTGTATTGACAGACAAGGCTATAATAGTACCTGCGTTATAGGTGTATTGACAGACAAGGCTATAATAGTACCTGTGTTATAGGTGTATTGACAGACAAGGCTATAATAGTACCTGTGTTATAGGTGTATTGACAGACAAGGCTATAATAGTACCTGTGTTATAGGTGTATTGACAGACAAGGCTATAATAGTATCTGTGTTATAGGTGTATTGAGAGACAAGGCTATAATAGTACCTGTGTTATAGGTGTATTGACAGACAATGCTATAATAGTACCTGTGTTATAGGTGTATTTACAGACAAGGCTATAATAGTACCTGCGTTATAGGTGTATTGGCAGACAAGGCTATAATAGTACCTGTGTTATAGGCGTATTGACAGACAAGGCTATAATAGTAACTGTGTTATAGGTGGATTGACAGACAAGGCTATAATAGTACCTGAGTTATAGGTGTATTGACAGACAAGGCTATAATAGTATCTGTGTTATAGTTTTATTGAGAGACAAGGCTATAATAGTACCTGAGTTATAGGTGTATTGACAGACAAGGCTATAATAGTGCCTGTGTTATAGGTGTATTGACAGACAAGGCTATAATAGTACCTGCGTTATAGGTGTATTGACAGACAAGGCTATAATAGTAACTGTGAATGGATCACGCCTTATGGATTCAACGGTTTTTGTTTGTTTGTTTGGGGTTTAGTATCCTCGCAACAGGTAAAATTTTGTTGAAAACAATTGTCTTATTTATCAATCAATTGAGCTACATTTGTACTTAGGGTACATTCGCTAGCCGGTTGAACCGGTTGAACCTGTACTGAAAACGACAGGTACAGATTTGGACCGAGGCTGACCTCAGGAAAATTTGGCACGTGTAGATTGAGGGATCCAGACGAATACCTGACAGAAACTAAAATGCTGACTATTGCTAGTTTGCGTTATTTCTTTCTAAAACAATGTCAAGCCACATGTAGTTTATAAGATACGTTATGTAATTCAGTGGACGCATGAAAGAAGGGCATTATATTCTTGATACATTATTTTTTATTCTCCGAAACTGTGCATTTTTACGTTCCAAGTGCGTTCGTTCGTACCGTTTCAACCAGGATACGCGAATGTAGCCCTGGTCGCCAACGGTCGACCAGTCTAGTCCCGCTACAGTATTCCTCCTTCGGGTTTTTTAAGTTGTCGCCCCCGAGACGCAATTACAACACAGGTTAATTAGGGTATCTCCTTGCCAAGGGTACAACCAGTCTTGAAATAAGTGCAATGCCTCTCATGTAAAATTCAAACATGATCGTAGTGCGGAGGAGAAATTTCGGCGTGAGTTTAATTTGATGGAAACACACAAGTTCAAATTACACAGACACAGCGATAACCTACGGTAGAAACGCGCGCGCAAATATCTCAAGTGACGTCACACTGTGTCTGGAAAAAAAGTTGCACAGTAAAAAAACATAGCTGCTGTATTAAATGCATATTTTGTAAGGTAAAATGTGTTTAACCAATCAGCTTGATCTTTTCATTTTCGTTTTTGTTTTCTATATATGGGGAGTATTTTTTTTGTAAAACATTTTGTCACATTCTTTGCGACTACATGTGAATCAATGAAAATATGTAAACTTTTATCGATGTCATTCAATGAGAAGAAGTAAGATTTACCATTTTCTGAAGTAAAAGTTGTACTCTTTTCTACAAAAGACAACGCTTGGAATACAAATCACATTTAAACATCTTAGCAAGCTGAGTTACAGTGAATTGAGAAAGTAAATGATAAGTGTTTACTATGTAAACGTTCTGTCATCTTCTTGTTACATGGACATATACCATTGTACAAGTGTTGATAGATTTATTTTAATAGGAAATGACCAAATCAAAACATCTGCATACAACTAACATACGAACCGTTATTGTCATCCGTTTTGTATCCGTACGATTACTGTAAGTAAATGCTCCGAAAGGTAGGATCGGATCTGGGCAAAGGAGGATGATCATAAGTGTTGACAAATGTTTAAAATAGTTGTACTCGGTGATTATAATCTTAGGTTCTGTACGTGTAGCTTTGTTAAATTATATCAATTCCGTGAAATGTATCATAATAGTCATAAAATAGAAAAAGAAGATTTTGAACTAAAGTTTGCAGATTTGTAATTATACAGCTTAAATATTATTTGCATTTTGATATTCATTATTTGCTTTCCAAGCTAAATTAAAATTTAAAGAGAATATAATTATATGAAAAATTGTATGTTATCAAAATCTTTTTGGATTTTTTTCACACACTGTACATGTATGCACATGATATTGGATATATATATTGTCGTCGGGACTGGAAAAGATAGGCCCAATAAATGGAAACATTGTACTTTGTGTGAACCTTTCATGGATTCTCGTATGTTTTTGTGTCTTGAGATGTATAGTAATCTGCAAATAATACAAAATTTAAACAATTGTTAAGTTCTAGAAAATTGAGATGATGTTTTTTTATGAATTGTAAAATAAATATTATTTTAATTGTTACCAAGCAAGAAATAACATATCCTGTAATTCAGATTTACAGTTATGAGCCAAAAAAAGAAGAAGACGAAGAAGAAAAAGGTATTAAACACAGTCCCCTTTCGCGTATCCAGTTTAACCGTTTCAACCGGCTGAACCTGAAAAGAAAACGACAGGCTCGATCAGATCTGAGTCGAGGCTGACCTCGGGAATAATCAGCACGTGCATATCGAGGGTTCCAGACGTGCATGACCGAAACTAAAATGCTGTCTCTCGCTAGTTTGCATTATTTCTTAATAAAGCAAATTCGATTCACATGTTTATTTTATGATACGTTATATAATTTAGTGGACGCGTGAAAGAAGGACATTTTATTCTTGGTGTTTTGTTATTTATCACAAAAACACCGAAACTGTGCATTTTTCAGCTCTGCCTTCAATTTAGCTCAAGTTTATGGAGGAATATTCTGCACCACTTTGCGACTATAAAGGCTTGTTACAGACATTTATCATTATCCCTCCAAGCATCAATTCCGGAATTACGCTGTCCCGTTGCACAGTCAGAATTTAGATTACCTTAGCATCTTTCCGGTTGGTAAAAAGGGAAACATGAAAGAATGTTGTTTTGAATGACAGTTTGAGACATTTGCCGTTTTTGAACAGCACAGAATTCGTATCAGGTATTATCTGTATTAAGCCTCCGAACTAGATATTTCATCGCAGTTTGTAAAATACATAGCATTCATAGCAGTGTTAATTCCATCATTGACTTGGTTATCAGCTGGTATTGTCTTTCGGCGGGATACATCAGCCAGCTGCCGAAATTGCACTGCTCATATTTACTCATGGAGTTTCAATATAGTAATTGTATCATATATGAAATCTTTTCTTGTTAAGTCAATATTTGTAGCATAACTTGTACGTATTTTCTCTATTACGACGGCTAGATTTTCAAAGGGGCAATTCATTTGTCTCTGGTGAAAAAAGCCAGAGAAATTCAGGGTTAGGCATTAATTTACTACTTAGTCTATTTTATTAAATGATGTTGTTTATTCATTACTGTGGTAAAATATGGTAGGAATGCCTGCAAGGTCCATATTTAATAGCCCTAGGCCTCCAGCAATAATAACATTTTAAAAGATTTTTTTCTTTACAAATTACAGAAATGTCTCGTCTGCAAGAATTATTGAGTATCAAGGAAGATTTTGGTTCAATGATCGACAGGATCCAGCCATGGATTCTGTCACACTTTGTGATGTGGCTAGATCTCAAGATTGCGGAGTACAAAGTGAATGGATACATGATGCTTGGTAAGCATAATGCTGCTTTTTGCACACAATGTGACACATTTTTGTATGGATTAGGGCTGTCACAGGTGTAAAAGATGTGCATTGATTAGGTTGCCTTACAAGCGACAGCTGTAGGGAATTTCTCTTTTGCTCAGCGATAGAGCATCGACAGGCTAGAGAGCCAATGCAAGGATCGCAGGTTTGAGGCCCAGCGACGGCACTCTCTTTATCACTATTCCTCATCCTATTACAAATTGGTGCCATTGACCCTCCCCGTTCAAGGTAGGAAAACCCTTGGTGGGGAGTCAAAGAACCTGGGCTGGTGTTAGAAAAAAGGGGGGAATAGTGTAAAAGATGTGCATTGATAAGGTTGCCTTACATGCGTCAGCTGTAGGGAATTTCCCATTAGCTCAGCGGTAGGGCATCGAGCTGGAGAGCCAAGGGTCGTGGGTTCGAGTCCCAGCGACGGCACTATCTTTATCACTATTCCTCCTCCTATTACACAGGTACAAAATTTCCATACTCAGGTACTCAAAATATTTCAACTATGCACAAAACATCGCTGCTCAGAGGGATCTATAGTATATTATATATGCATGCCAGGAAGAAAATGAAATCCACTGAATTTAACAACTGCGCCGGTGGAAATATCAATTTCTATCATTTTAGCCCACCATCATCTGATGGTGGGCTATTCAAATTACCCTGCGTCCGTGGTCCGTCCTTAAAAAATTCTTGTTATCGGTATTTCTCAAGAAGTACCAGAGGCATCTTTCTCAAATTTTATATGTAGGTTCCCCTTGGTCCTTAGCTGTGCAGGGCAACTTTTGAGACTGATGGGATAAACAACATGGCGAACAGGCAGCCATCTTGGATTTTGATAGTGAAAGTTTGTTATCGCTATTTCTCAAGAAGAACAAGAGGAATCTTTCTCAAATTTTATATGTATGTTCCTCTTGGTCCTTAGCTGTGCAGTGCAACTTTTGAGACTGATCGGTTAAACAACATGGCCGACAGGCAACCATCTTGGATTTTGATAGTGAAAGTTTGTTATCACTTTTTCTCAAGAAGTACCAGCGGGATCTTTCTCAAATTTTATATGTAGACTCCCCTTGGTCCTTAGCTGTGCAGGGCAACTTTTGAGACTGATCAGATAAATAACATGGCGAACAGGCAGCCATCTTGGATTTTGATAGTGTAGGTTTGTTACCGCTATTTCTCCGGAAGGATTAGAGGGATCTTTCTTAAATTTTATATGTAGGTTCCCCTTGGTCCTAGCTGTTCAGGGCAATTTTAGAGACTGATCGGATAAACAACATGGCCGACAGGCAGCCATCTTGGATTTTGATAGTGAAAGTTTGTTATCGCTATTTCTCGGGAAGTACGGGAGGGATCTATCTCAAATTTTAGATGAAGGTTCCCCTTGATCCCTCGTTGTGCATGTTACATTTTTAGACTGATCATAAAAACAAAATGGAATAAAAGAAGAACTAAACAGATCTTTCTCTTATTCCAATGATCGATTCTATTTCTTTCACATTATGTACTGTACTAGTAAATATGTGAAATGACAAACTCACTTTGAAGGTTGGCTTTCATACACATCAGTATTAAGTTTAGATCAAAAGTTACCTCAAGGTGCATTTACTGTTAACATGACTCGATAAAACAGATTAGAGGAAAGAAGAGAAAAGATCGAACTGACAAAGAACTAATGAAGATGGTACAAAGGTGGGCGCCAAGATCCCTCTGGGATCTCTTGTTTAATTAATTTTATAACTGAAGAACAATGTATTAAAGTTTAAACCCTCGTATGGAGATTGTAAGTTGTGGTGACTTGTTTTTTTTGCACCACCAGCTGATAGGCATGTTTGCAAATTTACTGCACATGGACAACTTTAAGTAAGGCATATACAACTTTAGTTTTGGAAACTTAATGTTTCATGCTTCACATTGCCAACACAGTACAACAAACATGGAGTTGCAATTATAATGAAATCGGACCATAACTCGGCCATTACAATGTTTAAAAGCAACAGAATCTCATTTATTCACATATACAAAAATAAATAAATAAATGAATGAATATACACATTTTATACATCGCCCTATCTAGCTAACATAAGCCACTTTACAGTACATATACATAGGTATACAATTTTATACAGTCAATACAATTAGCATATATATTAATCAATACAATATTGAGGAATTTGCAGGAGTTGCCTTATCGGGCGCTAACTACTAGTCCTATGCCACCTGGCTAATATCTCCCTATGTGTGTGTGCTGGAGATTTATTGTGTTCTGTTTGTAATGCTACAACCCAGACCATTTTATGCTCCACCTGGGTTGTTGGAGTTATGTGGGAGGGGAAAAATCACTTTCTCTGTGTTACAAATCATGTGTAGCACTCACTGGTCTTGCCCGAGTGATTTCGTCATTTGCATGTCTGAGATGAACAAAAATCCAGAGGAATTACTGACATATAACAAACAAAATGATAATGATGTTCTTTGTGAACATACAACGTAAAGATAAAATATCATTCCCTTCTAGATCCTGGTTAAAATGAAACAAATTACTGGTACAGTACTGAAATATCACATTTTCCCCTTTATTGACATGGTCAACGACAGACAGAGACCTATGTTGAGGGGTACCCATGCCAGGTACACATTTTCAGGCCCACATAAAAACTGAATCATTCCCTGGTAATTGTGACAGCCTTAATAGTAGATACATTAAATCATGTATTATGTCAGGACTGGGCAAATTTTCGTTTTATTCAATGTGAAAATATACGCCTGGCTAGAGTTGATTTTTTCAAAATCTGCCTACCCATGGGTTAATATTCTACATATTAGATATTTTACACCTCTGTCCTTATGCATGTTGTCATTGTGCACAATATTAAATATTTCTGTATTTTTGTTTTGAAATAGATGAATATGGTCCTGATGGGTTCGGAAACAGTACTGGTCATAGCAGCCAGAGTCCTGACTTATCTCCCCTTGCACGATCAACCCCACCAAAACCACGTCGTCAAGGTGTACAAGTTGTTCCAAAGCCTCTCTCACCAAAGAACATTCAAAGCAGCATATCTAGGCGGTATCAAGCGGAAAAAGATGGACACTTTCAAACAATGAATTCTTTATTTTTGAATTCTTTTCCCAAAAAACAAGGAACAGAAAGAAACTATCTGCAGAGAAATGAAACCAGCTTATCGCCAGAGAAGTCAGTTGTTCATACGGATATCCATGTGCCCAGTGTAAGGCAGTTACAAACGAATATTGATGAAAGGTCAGACATGTATCTTGGTTTTGTACCAAATCACGGGAGTGAGGACCCAAGATTTGCTGACAGATTGACGAGCGGAATGAAACGCCCCGCTACAGCCTCTCCAGACTCTAGTCAAAGTCTTACGCATACAAACACCTCAGGCAGCAGTAGACATCAGGAAAATGGAACAACAGCCTTGTATAAAAGCCAACAATTCAGCACGCTCATTTCCGACTCCAGACCCCAGAAAATTGACCAGATAGACAGATGGAATGTCGGCGATAAGTCAGGATCACACATGCCTCCTGTTGATTCACATGATAATGAAGAAAATCAGACGTTAAAAAATGTAACAGTGATTGACTTGGCTGATGGCTCTCAGGGGCAAAGTGAACATTGTTCTAGTACTCTAGAGAAGGAATATTTTCAAGAGAGTAACAACAAATTCTCAGTGAACCCCGAAGTGAATACTGACAATTCCCAAACACAGCAGCCATCATTTGAGGAAGATGGTGGACATCCGTCCGAACAGGTACTTGTATTTAAGGTTTTTCCACTTATAGATATTTAACCAAATTTGTGTTAATACAAGGAGACCTGTTTAGAACAAATTAAAGTACATTGGACACAAGTATTATCTTAAGCATTATATTAAATTGAAAATGGTACCAGGTGCCTCCAGTTAAGTCTGTAACCTTGTACTAAGGGCTATGATGGATGGTGGAGGCAGGAAAAAATAATATTTCTTATATGGCATTGCTTGAATTAATTACCTCTGTGGGTATTCCTTTTTTATGTTAACATAGTCTATTATATATCCAACAAACTGTTGTAATAAATGGCCTGAGAAAATGTCCAACTCAAATTGCAAGTTTGTTTATACTGAAATTTAAAACGATGACATTGGATGTAATGATAGTGCAGAAATCATATGTTTTGCAACAGGAGTTTTGATAACTAACTAATTACATAGAGTTTATTTTAGTTCCAATCAATTATCTGTTCATGGACTCCCAATTACTAATTTTAGTTTTCAGCAAATCACCTACAGATCCTTCTACATGCTGTCTCACCTGTATTACTTGTAACATGTGTTATAGCTTCTGTACTCAGTGAAATTGTTAAGTCCACATGATAGTTTTTGTAAGCTTTCAAGTGAATTTTTGTGATAAGTAAAAGCTGTTTAAAAACAGTGTCAATAAACATACTCAATTTGATTAATTTTCAGTCAAATTCAAACCTAGAATTCGATCTGAGTAGCCAACCATTAAAAGAAGAAGACACGAGTGACCCGCCAGTCGTCATAAAGATTGAGTCTGACGGGGAAGACCTGGCAAATATGATGCAGTCTGAAAACACACCAGGAGCTATGTCCCTTGAAGAGGACTCATCAGATATTTCTAATTTCAAGTCATTGTATATGGATGATGGTTCGTTGTCAATGGCAACAGGAAGTGACAGTAGATCTGTTGTACCAGTGGAACTTGTTTCTCATGGGAATCTTCCGTCAATGTCACTGAATGAAATTAATCTCACATTGTCTCAAGGTAAGTAATGATCACCTGTCATATACTCCAGAACAAAACTTTTACATGTCAATTTAGAAATGTATTTCCCATAAAGTAGCTCAGTTTTCAAAACTGTTAACTACCAATAAAGTGCCTTATAAATAGGAAACATAAGAGTTACAACTTAAAAAACAAAAACAAAAAATTAATGGCCTGCCAGAAACTTTTACTTATGATAAACTGCACCCAATTACATATACCTAGCCAATACATGTAGGTAAACCTAGAAAATACAGCACCACTTCCTCTAAAAGGTAGCTTTGATACTGATAGTCAATATACTTGGGGCTATATTCCACAGTTAGTTTAATAAAATGGGGGAGTAGGAACTCACCTGTTTTGATACTACTGATACGACCAGGTCTGTCTATCACCCCTTATAATAAATCACTGTACAAATCTGATGAGGGGGTGTGGTCTCTGAAAAAGTTCCTCTCACCAGACCCATCGCTAAGATTATCTCTGTAACAGCCTTTGATCAAAATAAAGAATTACAATATTTATATATTTTCAGCACTGTAAATTGGCAACACAAACATGATATCTTTTGACATTTTGATCAAGTCAGTACATTTTGATGCGTTGTTTACAGAGATCCAAACTTACTTATATTAACCCTCGATACACAGATCTAAAATAATGAAATGTGAGAATGTTTGTAAGCATGTACAGATCCAATTAAAATTCTTTGTTATATTGTTTTAGGTATGTTTACCAAGAAACGACGATATGTGCGGACAAAACCTTTTGCGTCATCGCCCTCTTGTGTTCCCAGAGATCCAGTCTCGGGAAAGTTTGTATGTACAATTTGCAATGGCAAGTTTCAAAACCGGTCTTCGTTTTTCCGTCACAAATCTCTTCATGGTGAAAAGCGCCTCCAGTGCTTTGTGTGTTTGAAGAGGTTTCATCGAAAAGAACATGCATCAATGCACATGAATCGCCACGGTAAAAACGGGGAACTAATTTGTCCAATATGTCAGATGGTCGGGCACGATACTGGAGAAATGGAGCAGCATTTTTGTATTGTGCATAAAGTACGCAGTATGTATACGTACCGCATCCACAGCGACATGTCGAACCAAAGTATGACCTATACAGGACAGACCTTCAGTGACATGGAAAACGATCCCTCATTACAGATCTTCTCTGGTCAGAACTTCAGCAGTGATGGAGTGGACGATTCCTCATTACCTGTCACAGGGACATGATGGACAGTCCGCAAAAAAATCCCAAAATAAATATTGTGCAATTGAGATATTATTACATGTAGAACTATATACAGTGTATGATATTCATACGTAGTTGTGTATTCAAACTCATATTTAAATAATTTGTTATATTTTCATTGTAGAATTAAATTTTTTCAGAGGTTTCATGTATTGTTAATTAACAAATAGGTATACACCGGCTTGTTTCAGGAATTTTGCATGGCTATAGTATTTAATATTTTTAACAGTAAATGTGAATGGTACTAAAAACACATACAATTTCTTAATAAAACTGGCATTGAAGAGTTGCACAAAATATTGATGTTGCTGATAGTTGCATATAGAGGGAAAATACTCAACATGCATGGTAGGCTAATGATAGTCTGATGAAATACTGCAAGTAGATATATATATAGTTCTGGTAGTGGTGCATTCCATGTGTTGTTTTATATATTAAATTATTGATGTTATTGTGTTTCTGTGGAACTTTAACTCCACAATCTGTGTGTTCTATTGACAGACAGCTGCCATTATACTGGAGCCCCAGTCCCTTGCCTCTTTGACATTTTCACACTCGCTAGGGACGAGACTTCAGATTGACATTTTCACACTCGCTAGGGATGACACTTCAGATTTACATTTTCACACTCACTAGGGACGAGACTTCAGATTGACATTTTCACACTCGCTAGGGACGAGACTTCAGATTGACATTTTCACACTCACTAGGGACGAGACTTCAGATTGACAATTTCACACTCGCTAGGGAAGAGTCTTCAGATTGACATTTTCACACTCTCTAGGGAGGAGACTTCAGATTGACATTTTCACACTCAATAGGGATGACACTTCAGATTGACATTTCCACACTCGCTAGGGATGACACTTCAGATTGACATTTTCACACTCGCTAGGGATGACACTTCAGATTGACATTTTCACACTCGCTAGGGACGAGACTTCAGATTGACATTTTCACACTCGCTAGGGACGAGACTTCAGATTGACATTTTCACACTCGCTAGGGATGACACTTCAGATTGTCATTTTCACACTCGCTAGGGGTGACACTTCAGATTGACATTTTCACACTCGCTAGGGACGAGACTTCAGATTGACATTCACTTACATGCACTGTCGGATAATTAGTGATCAATTACATTAAAGTTCACACACAAGATTTAGTTAAGTTAGTGTTTTAAGTGTTGCCTGTATTTTTTTCATATTCAACATCTATTTCTGTTCCGTAGTCACATTTGAAGGGAAGCAAGAACTGTAGGTTATGCCTAGAATCAAATGTTGTATATTACATAGGCAATACCAGGTATTTCAGTTGCTTCCAGTTGACCCATGACATTTGCAGTTTCAGAGGTCAAATAAAATTTTCCCTGAAACTCGAAGTATCAAAACACATTTCAGATACGTGTAGGTGTGTCCATTCAAACCCATGAGTCGGAGCTCCCCTTTTGGAGAGTCAAAATTTTAAACACACAATTGATTTTTTTCAGCTGTATTACACTAAATTAAATTGATCACTAATAAGGAAATGAAACAAGATTTTTTTTAGCTTTTTCAGGTTTATATTTTAATTTTATTTAGATGTATCCTGTTTTTGTAGTAAAGTTATATTAACAATAAATATTAGTGGTAAATTATATTTGTCTTGGTAGTAATCTAAAGAAATACAATACGTTATACCCAAGAGAGAAAACACTAAGATGTAACTACCGTAGTCATTATTATTAAAAAAAACATCCTCTGGTGACTTTACAACAAGTAAAAGACTGTTTTTGACACACACTCAATCTGTCATTTTAGAGCCTTTTTAATATGTTTGTAACTATAAAAAAAAGTCAAAACTCTCATTTTTTGCTAGGTTTATTAAAAAATTATTATGAATTAATAAACCATGATTTTACAGGATATTACATCAGCTTTATAATTTAACATATTATTACTGATATAGTTTTCCAATTTCCACAATTTTCAGCACTGTGCACAAAGTATTGCTTTGATCTGTCAAATTGTTTGCACTGAAGTATCGTTTTTCTTCAAAATTGTTATCTAGACATCTCAAACACCTTTCCATTTATATTTTTGAATTTGGAAAAATTCAATTTGAAATAGTGTTAGAATTTTTCAATATCATAAAAAGGACTTGTTTTTGGATAAGTAGTAAAGATGAGGTTCGTGTGTTTCTTTTTAAAATATTGTTTTGCTAACACTTCCCTTTATTAATTGTTTCTTAAGGCTTTTGTTTAATTAAAAGATGAAATGCAGAATAAGGGTTGCCTTTCACAGCATCTTATCAAATTAACAATGATAAACTTCTGTAGCAAGATTTATATACTAAACAAAAGTCAAGAAAAAACAAAATAAGATATTTTGTGTTAAAGATTTAAGATTACAGTTTGTATATGGGTTATGAGAAAAGGAATATAAAATACAATTTACATGTACAAATACTGTACTTCTTTTTTCTGTTTACAAATGTATTCATTTTTTTTTTTAAACCATTGAAATGAACACAGGCAAGAATTTTTTACTTGTTTGTAACCTTTTTTTTTAAAAAAATCAAATCTTATTTGAGATTTTTGTTTAATACCTGTCAAATTGTATCATTACAATGTAGGAGTAAATTAAACACAAGACCAGAACAAAAGCTGACCAACAGAAGCGTACCAAAGACCAATGGGCCCTAGTTTGTACTTGCCATAGTTTACTACATATTAAATATAGTATCAATTTTACTTTAGTTTTGTATCTTATATTATTATTATATTATTATTTTCAAAACATAATTTATATAATGGCATGTCTCTTTCTTTACATCATTTCAACATAGTCAAGTGAATAAATATTGAAATCAGTCAAATTGTGGTTTGTTTGTATGTGATGATGATGATGATGTTTTAGAAGTGACATCAGAAGTGCTGCTCATTACAGTAGCTACAGCCTGCCTACATAGCTACAGCCTGTCTACATAGCTACAGCCTGCCTACATAGCAACAGCCTGTCTACATAGATACAGCCTGTCTACATAGCTACAGCCTGTCTACATAGCTACAGCCTGCCTACATAGCTACAGCATGTCTACATAGCTACAGCCTGTCTACATAACTACAGCCTGTCTACATAGCTACAGCCTGTCTACATAGCTACAGCCTGTTTATATAGCTAAGCTACAGCTTGTCTACATAGCTACAGCCTGTCTATATAACTACAGCCTGTCTACATAGCTACAGCCTGCCTACGTAGCTACAGCCTGTCTACATAGATACAGCCTGTCTACATAGCTATAGCCTGTCTACATAGCTACAGCCTGTCTACATAGCTACAGCCTGTCTACATAGCTACAGCCTGTCTACATAGCTACAGCCTGTCTACATAGCTACAGCCTGTCTACATAGCTACAGCCTGTCTACATAGCTACAGCCTGTCTACATAGATACAGCCTGTCTACATAGCTACAGCCTGTCTACATAGCTACAGCCTGTCTACATAGCTACAGCCTGCCTACATAGATACAGCCTGTCTACATAGCTACAGCCTGTCTACATAGCTACAGCCTGTCTACATAGATACAGCCTGTCTACATAGATACAGCCTGCCTACATAGCTACAGCCTGTCTACATAGCTACAGCCTGTCTACATAGCTACAGCCTGCCTACATAGATACAGCCTGTCTACATAGCTACAGCCTGCAGCCTACATAGCTACAGCCTGCCTACATAGCTACAGCCTGTCTACATAGCTACAGCCTGCCTACATAGCTACAGCCTGCCTACCAGCCTGCCTACATAGCTACAGCCTGCCTACATAGCTACAGCCTGCCTACATAGATACAGCCTGTCTACATAGCTATAGCCTGTCTACATAGCTACAGCCTGTCTACATAGATACAGCCTGTCTACATAGATACAGCCTGCCTACATAGCTTCAGCCTGTCTACATAGCTACAGCCTGTCTACATAGCTACAGCCTGCCTACATAGATACAGCCTGTCTACATAGCTACAGCCTGTCTACATAGATACAGCCTGTCTACATAGATACAGCCTGTCTACATAGCTACAGCCTGTCTACATAGCTACAGCCCGTCTACATAGCTACAGCCTGCCTACATAGATACAGCCTGTCTACATAGATACAGCCTGCCTACACAGATACAGCCTGTCTACATAGCTACAGCCTGCAGCCTACATAGCTACAGCCTGCCTACATAGCTACAGCCTGCCTACATAGCTACAGCCTGTCTACTGCCTACATAGCTACAGCCTGCCTACATAGCTACAGCCTGTCTACATAGCTACAGCCTGCCTACATAGCTACAGCCTGCCTACAACTGCCATATTTTGTGTTGCACAGGTTCACTTAACTTAACTTAAGAGTGTAAATACAACTTGTATAAGGATTGCTAAGGCTTCATGGTGAATATGTATGTAACCGAATTGCGTTCATTCTGGCATGAACATTGAAAAAATGCAGTGCAAAGGAGATTCCTGAAACAGCCTAACATCAACAAAATGTTTGATTCTAACAGTTGTGTCATGTTATTTGGGGTGGGAGGAGAAGCTTCAAAATGACACTGATTAAATTGTGTTCATAGTTCTATGAAGGCAATTTCTTCTGGGGATGCTTGTAGAGGATTTACTTGTAGTGGAAATGTAAATATATACATGTACAATCCTTAAAGTGTGTCAATCCATCAGCAACTCTTGGTTTAGTAATGTCGCCCTCAAACCTCACCTTCACCATATTTCATGAAGAAGCAGTACAAGTATTTGATTAAAGGAAACAATTATACTTTGTTGGGTCATTTTGTCAAAGGTCAAGGTCAGTTTCTCTCGTCAGAAAGGCTGATGGTTTACAACTGGTCCCTTCACTATTTGTAACATTGTTTTCATTAAAATTGATGAGGCTGTACTACTTGTTAAGACAAAGGTATAACACTTTTTCGGTCAGTCACAAGTCGAGTTCAAACACATGGTTTCTACTTTATGCCTTTCCTAGTTATTGCATATTTTCCCTGAATGTCATAAACTTTTAACTGATGAAAGGTCGAGATAACTAAATATGAAATCCTTGAGTCAGCTTAGCTGAGTGATTCCAATTTAAACATACTTCGATTCCTCATCTTCATCAAACTAGATATGATTGTTGAACACGTTTTGGTTCTTTCTGTTCCTGGCCAAAATATAAAGTCTCCATTCCTACTGGATGGTCCGTCCAATAAATTTACTTTTTCTGCAAGAACGCAACGTGATGTCAATACCCCAGCTTCTGAACTATTGACTAGGTTCTTAGAAACACAAAACATGCATCATTACCTGCTTGATGATCAAGGGTTTTGTAGACTGATAAAAAAGACAAGCTTAGCAATGAAAATAACTAGGTTCTATAAAAAGGGTGTAATTTGTCTCTTTATTTTACCTTACATGAATAAAAAAGTCCCAAAATTGTCTGTTAATGGAAATGAAAAGAATTGATTACAGTTGTGCTTGCTTTTGTACGGATTAAGGCCCAAGTTCCACCGAAGTGATGACAGGTCGGACCTTCCACTTACATACAATTGTACACATAGTTCCCATCATCATTGTGATATGTTGGATGGGCATGGTGGAGTTAAAGTCTCCTCCAAGAACCACGGTCTCTAATCTAGTAGCTTAACTGGAAGTAGGAAGCCTGCATGACCTTGTAACCACGAATGGATCACCTGATGTTTGGGCCCCCTGCAGAATCGGGGGGGTTCTTCCGTGTCTTCTAGGAAGGGGACATGGAAAACACCAAATTGATGTGCTGTCCTTCTTTCAATTCTGTCTACTTTGTTCGATGCGGTGTCTCCCTAGGCACTCGTCCTCGTATGATATGACCCAGGCTGTTGTGAGGATGTTTGATCCCAAACAAATAAACAAAAGCATGAGTTGCTGATGGTCACAAGTGGCACAAGTCTAGCCACAGGGATTGATTCCTTTAATAGATATTGTTAGTCTGAGTGTAGAATTGTTGGCGTAGACCAATAAATAAACATAACAAGCATACTGAGTATTGCTAAAGCAATACATGTCCCCTACTGGCCCTAATACATTGTAATGATTTATAAAAATGGTGCCCTTTGGTGTTAATTTGGGAAAATGAAAAGTATACATTTAGCTTGTAACTGATTTTGCTGTACATGTAATAATAAAACCAGAAATTGTAAATTTAGTATTATGACAGAGGAATTATATAAAATAAAATGATTGTTATATTTTGTTGCTTTTGTGGTATGAAAGCAATTACCAGCAAGGGTGATTAAGAGACGTGAATATCATCACCAATGTGTAATAACGTGTTACTTCTCCAGTTTAATTCAGTTTATTATTGCCCTATTAACAGCCTTACGGCCATTTGAACTTGAACTTTATGTTTTGTCTGTAGGTATCCTAATGTTCCTGGACCATAATGTAGACATGCTGTTTCAAATATTTTCAATAAGTGAAATGATTATTATTTCTAGGAAATGTAATAGGAAAAAAGATATATATTTTCATTAAGTGTAACCAGTATTCACATGGCCATTCACGATCGTAAACACAGACATGGCCTTGAGGAATCTGGTTATTTGTCCATGTACACTGGTCATGTATGATCAAATAAACTTATCAAAAAGTTGAAGTTTGTACATCCCAGACTATTTTATAGACTTACATTACCTTATATAAAGTAGATCAATGACATACTGTATAAGCTATGCAACTGGAGTTATAGCAACTCTACATATCACTCACAATAAAACAACTATACTTTGCAACACAACCTGTAAGGACACTTTTTCCTTCATTTCCAATTTCCCGTGTACTAGTATGTGTGCTACCTTTTCACATTTCTCCTGTATGTGTGCTACCTTTTCACATTTCTCCTGTATGTGTGCCACCTTTTCACATTCCTCCTGTATGTGTGCCACCTTTTCACATTTCTCCTGTATGCTGATTAATTTGCATGGTAATTACATGATGGTCGCTAGAGCGCTGACAAGGATTTTCTAAATAAAGTACCAGTGACCTTGACCCGATAACCCTGAAACGCGAACTTGTCCGAGATATTTTGGTCCTTTGTAATTGTATGAAGTTTGATCAAAATCCCTCCAGGAATGAAGCCACTAGAGCGCTAGCTGACAAACATTGGTGTTAGGTATGTACGTAGATGTATGGAGAGGAAAACTATAGTCCCACCCCTGGTTTCATCGGTAGGCGACTACAAACATCACAGTGTCAACAAAACACTAATTTGAACACCAGACCGAGAAAACCGAGGCAAAATACACCAGACCGAGAAAACCGAGGCAAAATACCAAACAAGGGTAATATTTAATGGAGACCATTGAAAAAGTGTAAGGAAGAAGTAAGCCATGTGCCCAGACACAATGACAACAGTCCAGATGTACAATAACAAACGTCCCGACACACAATGACAACCGTCCATACAAACAATGACAACAGTCCACACACACAACGACAACAGCCAACACACAACGACAACAGTCCACACACACAATGACAACAGTCCAGACACACAATGACAACAGTCTAGATGCACAATGACAACAGTCCACACACACAATGACAACAGTCCACACACACAACGACAACAATCCAGACGTACAATGACAACAGATCACACACAATGACAACAGTCCAGATGTACAATAACAAACGTCCCGACACACAATGACAACCGTCCAGACACACAATGACAACAGTCCACACACAACGACAACAGTCCAGACACACAATGACAACAGATCACACACAATGACAACAATCCAGACGTACAATGACAACAGATCACACACAATGACAACAGTCCACACACACAACGACAACAGACCAGACACACAATGACAACAGATCACACACAATGACAACAATCCAGACATACAATGACAACAGATCACACACAATGACACCAAGCCAGACGTACAATGACAACAGATCACACACATTGACAACAGTCCACACACACAACGACAACAGGCCAGACACACAATGACAACAGATCACACACAATGAGAAAAATCCAGACATACAATGACAACAGATCACACACAATGACACCAAGCCAGACGTACAATGACAACAGATCACACACACTGACAACAGTCCACACACACAATGACAACGGTCCAGACACACAATGACAACAGGCCACACACACAACGACAACAGGCCAGACACACAATGACAACAGATCACACACAATGACAACAGTCCACACACACAATGACAACCGTCCAGACACACAATGACAACAGTCCACACACACAACGACAACAGTCCACACACACAATAACAACAGTCCAGACACAATGACAACAGTCCACAGACACAATGACAACAATCCAGACACACAACGACAACAGTCCAGACACACAATGACAACAGTCCACACACAATGACAACAGTCCACACACAATGACAACAATCCACACACACAACGACAACAATCCAGACACACAATGACAACAGTCCACACACAATGACAACAATCCACAGACACAATGACAACAGTCCAGACACACAATGACAACCATCCAGACACACAACGACAACCGTCCAGACACACAATGACAACAGTCCACACACACAATGACAACAGTCCAGACACACAATGACAACAGTCCACACACACAATGACAACCATCCAGACACACAACGACAACCGTCCAGACACACAATGACAACAGTCCACACACACAATGACAACAGTCCAGACACACAATGACAACAGTCCACACACACAATGACAACCATCCAGACACACAACGACAACCGTCCAGACACACAATGACAACAGTCCACACACACAATGACAACAGTCCAGACACACAATGACAACAGTCCACACACACAATGACAACCATCCAGACACACAACGACAACCGTCCAGACACACAATGACAACAGTCCACACACACAATGACAACAGTCCAGACACACAATGACAACAGTCCAGAAAATCTGTGACCATCAATGCAATCTATGGTGCAAAACTTAAATGCAAAATCTTAATGTTGACACCGTTGCCAGAAAAGCAACACCTTAGTCTCGCTTCAGCTACTTCGTCACTGTGAGACAAAAACATATCACACAAAGAAGTAGCAAACTTCCCTGCGAGATCCTGATGGCCGCTATAACCTTGACAATAGTTTCTCGTACTAGATACTTTGCCAGTATTCACAACCACTCACTTCTTCTGAAGATCGTTGAGGTCGGTTTGGACATCACACAGTCAGGTGTTTTGTTCTTATTTATAATTTCAAGCAGCTGTTTCATTTTAAATATGGACCTGACAGAAAGTATCATAAAGTCTTTAATGTTATAAACTACATTGTTTTGGAATTGCAGTTTTATACTTAAAAGGTAACATGCTAGCAGTAAAATGTTCACTTCCTGCATCTACAAACAAAACATGTTTTATATAAGTGCTTCTTTACTTTATATTTCTTGTCATTATCTACTGTCGAGGATTCGATATGCGGCTTGCACAAACATGTCTTAATTTCGTACCAAGTGCAAGAAGGTTGGCTGTTCTTAAAATTTGCTTTCAGTACATCTGTTAAAATCCATGTGTTAGATAAATGCCAAATACCTACAGTAGCTTAGAGGAAGAAAATAAGCAGGGATCCGTGCTAGGCGCTTAATATCGTATAACTTAGAACCTATATATTAAAGAATCGGGTTTGATACAACTGTATAATGTTTTAAGAATTATGTACATGAAGTGACTACAATGTATTTAGATGATACCATTGGGGGTATGGTACCCTATCATCAAACTAACCGTGTCATATACAAATAGAATGTAAGATATATCAAATTTATTGGTACAAAAAAATTAAACTTGAACCATCCCTTCAAAGAAAGATATACAATTATAGTCAATAATCTGATCGCATGTCTAGGAACGAAACCAACAAGAGTCTTTAAACCAAGTCGAGGGTTTCTGGAAGATAGACATTATACAAACAATCACAAAGTTTTCCTGTAGAAGATAAAAATACAACACGTTTAGATTTTTGTTAAATAATGTTTTTATTAATTAACAATTCATTGCAAACTGTTATACATTGTAAATCCTAATTTCGCCCTTGGATATTTCAATTCAATGTTTGCCTTATGTTGGAGTATACCTATACACCAATTTCAAATTCCATCAATGAATCAAAAAAATTTAAAAAAAACTGTCATAGAAGAGAGAAAGGGTCAGCAATGTTAACCCACTGATTTTTTTCCCATCAAAGACAGATTCCTGCTGGCCACAAAATATAACAAAGTTTGAAAGACAGATGTCAAAAAACAATGAATAACGATCCGTCATCCTTCAGATTTATTTATATTTAAATAAAGTTTTCCTCTGTACAAACTTAATCAAAGGAATATTTTTATTTATATTCAATTTTTGCCAATAAGTTAAGGAATGTTCATAAAACTGCGGTCTGGACAGCAGATCAAATTTGGTTTCTCCGCTAAGATCTATTACCCCAACCCTAACAACCCCTCACCTCTCTGCCTTACATTGCTTGAAAAAAAAACCCAGATCTTGCCCCGTTTACATCAAGAAGTGGGTTAAATACTCCAATTAATTACAAATGTTTACGAATCTGCAGTGATATGACACATAAGTGATATAACATGACTATATAACCGAAACTTAAACCTCTGCACATCTGTGTAACATGGCAAAATCGAAGGCTCAGGGTGCAGCACCTTGAAGATGACACCATTCAACATTTGTTCGAAGGCTCTGATGACCATAGACATAGCTACACTAACAAAGTACATACATCTGTTATTCCATTTTTACATGATTACAAATCATATTTCATTTTTTTAATGGCCATTAAATTTTGGTACATGTAATTTAAATTTGGGGTTATTTCCCTTTCTAGATGTAATTTACGAATAAAAGCTTTCCGTCTTTGACATTCAGAGCAGACCACGTAACATAGTTTGTCAACTCCAGTGATTGAACACATCTATTACTGAAAAAATGGAGATATACACCATAATTTCATGATTCAGCAGGTATTTATACCTTTTAATACTAAAGATGCTTTTCCTGCCAAACATGTATCATATCAATGTTTTGATTTCATATTTGACACATGAACACAAAGTTGTTTTTTGAGCATTTCGGTGTTTAATTAAATATTAACAGAAATATTAGAGTGTTCTATTTTGTGGTGAGTTGTCATACCAGCCAACAATTCTGAACACTTTGCTTAGTATCCAATTCATGATTTGAATTTCAATATAGCGCAAAATGTTAAACATTTTGCATTACAATTTCATTAGGAGGAACTGAATAAAAACGTAAATCATGTTCATTTTTCCTCCCCCTAATTAAGACCCATTTACAAGATTATGGTGCATTAATTTAATGGGGGTTTGGAATTATTAGACATAAATCATATCTCAAATACATGATCAAGAATCAAAAACAGATTTATGAAGATAATCCCAATCCATCTTTTCATTTACCATTTACCATTGGTAAAAAAAATACTGAAATAGTAAATTAAAAAGACAAAAGAACAACAACATACAAACAACTTTTGTTGTACAATATTAACTATCAGGCTTTAACTGTCGTTCTGTATAACTAAGCTGTGTGTTTACTTTTGTTGTACAATATTAACTATCAGCCTTTAACTGTCGTTCTGTATAACTAAGCTGTGTGTTTACTTTTGTTGTACAATATCAACTATCAGGCTTTAACTGTCGTTCTGTATAACTAAGCTGTGTGTTTACACTCCTGATTTGTAAACCAAAGATGTAAGTACAGTAAAGGATTGTATAATTTCACTGAGTCAACCGACACAAATCATCTGCCTGTTTGCGAACATAAAAACAGGAAAAACTGTTACTAATTGTTGCTTAATATTTATCAATGTCACCGGAGCAAGTAGTGTTACAGGTGCATACTTTAAGCGTGTACATGTAGTCATATGGAATATTATATACCGATTATCATTTATGTTCAGCCTCAACCTTTGGGTGGGGTCCCTTTTTCCTGAAACAAGTACAGTTCTATATTTGGCCATTGGAAATAAGTTAAAATTTCACTTCTATCTATATAAGTAAGGATTAAAGTGCTGGCCTGTTGTGTATGAAATCAGAATGAGTTGTCAGCAGTTCTTTGATGATATGTTCCTCGATCTCCACACCACTGTCCAGCTGACCATCGGTCAGTTTTATCGCCTTATGTGTGTCTTTGGTGACAACTATGACTTCCTTCTTTCTTGTTTCCAAAAGATTAGCAACCACAACCTGAAATATCAAAATATATATTTTTTAACATTTCAACTAAATTTCAATATACATGGGCGGGCTTATTAGCAGGCATAGGCTTGTTGCTGGACAAAAACAGTATTTGAGTTTTTACCATGATCCTAGTATACTGTTTTAATCCTACTGAATACATGTACTAGAGAAACTGTGAGAGGGCTCACAAAGAAAATACCCCTGCTTCATCTTATCTCGAGATTCAAACTTTGTTTTGCAGGGGGTATTATAACTGAATCACAAATTTCTTCTTTCATACACATCTTCACAGGATGTTCTTTCACTGTGCCAGGTTACAAACAAAATTGAACAAACGGTTAAGGAAGAGTTACGTTTATACATTGTATTAGGTTTCTGGAGCAGAAATAAAAAGTTCCAAGGGCCACAACTCCAGGAAAAACAGTTGACTCGCAAGTTCCTTTCTTCATGCACATCTACATATGATTTTTCCATTTTGTAAACTTTTAAAAAATACCCAACAAATGAGGTTGAGTTGCTCTTACAAGGTTCATGGACGGGCGGACTGACGAGGGGGATTCCCCAGACTTTGTTAGCTGGGAGTATAAAAATGGAAACAGTAATTAACAGTTACCTGGTGACAGTACTTCGCCAGAGCCTGTTGTGCTTTTTTTACCAGAAGTTCTTGGTCTGTTTCAAGCTGTAAAAGGTTTGGTTAATTATTAATAGATGGGAGGTATGTATTCTACTCTATATTGTTGATTGTCAAAATATCTTCAACAAATTTTTCTGAACCTTTTAAAAGGTCGCCAATTATATGCATATACATTATATGCAAATCATATATACAAACAACATGTAAACAAATTTATGTAACATTTTAACTAACTGAATGAACTGCATATTAAAATAATGTAATAAGCAAAAGTTACTGATCTAAATATATGATTTAACTTTATGACAGCCAAATAAGTTAAGCTTGAAGTCAATTTTAATGGGTACATTTTGTAACTTACATTATCAATCACTAAATTTACTTTAGCTATTACATTATTTTACATTAAATTGAGTGACAAAATGTCCTTAAGCATTCAACATGGAGCAACTGACCTTGAACGAGACAACAAAGGCATCAGGTACCCATTCTTTGACAAGAGGCTGTAACATCTTGGGGACCATCTCAAGGGACAGCTGTAAGGGACCATCTCCAGACTGAATTTTGTGTTCAGGCTAACAAAAAAAAAAGTTTTTTATATGATTAGAAAAAAAGACACTTAACTCATTCACTCCTGAAATTTCATAATGAACTATTCTACCCTTTGAATTGAAAAAAATAAAATGTGTCATCAGGGGTGAATAAGTTATCTCCCATAGTCCCTATGTTAGTTAGAATCAAATTAACATAAGAGGATTTTCCTTTGGCTACTTTTCTAATATTCATGAAACTAATATCTCAGATACTACACAGTAAACTGTAAATTATGTCATTTGGTTTAATAGAGGAACTTATTGAAACATTATATGTGATGAAATTTAAATACTAACCATTTGTTCTTTTGGAATGTAGAAGTCTGACACAGCAGCGGCCAGATAGAGCATAGCCTTGTTGTTCATGTTATTGACAGCCTGGCAGGCGGCGTGCAGTAGTTGCAGGTACTCCGACAAGGTCTGGAACTCCACACCCAGCAGACGGTCGTCACTCACTGCTGACTGGTGCTTCTGTAGCTGGGAGCCAACCATCTTCTCAAAGTTTTCCTTAACTGTTCACAAACATATTGAATTCATAATCATAAAGAAAAGAGGAGAAACTTTCCAAAACTGGACTAAAACATTTATTGAGTCCAAAATATCAATACTGACCTTCAAATGTCTAAAATAGAGTGCAAAATGCCTAAATTATGATTTAAACTTATTGATATACAAGCTAAAAATCAAATATACATAGTCTATATTTGGTGCTGGATAACTCAAAAAGTCTGTAATATACAGAATAATTTGATTGTTAAAACAAATTTGACCCTCTTTGACTTTGAATATAGTTCTAATTCATTTCCTTTCTCAAACTTTGTATCACTCCAAACACGCAAGCGAGATACTGGCCACAGACTCCAGGTCTTTTGACTGTTCAGAAGAAGTCATTTGGTGTTCTCCAGAAAAAAAATATTAGAGTGTTAAGATGCATACATTGCACAATGTGATGCAGAAACCTTCTTACAGAAAGCTGCACTAAGGCCCGTAGAACATATCTATACTACACCTACAACAGGAGTTACATAATGAATATCAACAATCCATCTGCTTGTTCATTAGAAGAGGTTATTTTTAGATGCCCAAAATTTCCTCCTTTTTTTACCACTTTTGGGGCACAAAAAAACACAGCATGTTATATTATCCTTCACAAATCTGATACTAAAAAAACTACAAAATGTCGTTTAAATCTACCCAGCGGTTATTGAAAAGAAGTGGTTTAATTCAAGTTCATAGACAACAGATAATGGATGAGAGCGGAATGCAATATCCTACTTCAGGTCGGGTGAGATAATAATCTTAAAATAAAAAAATATCATTGGTTTGAACATGATACACCATTCAAACACAAACATATTTTTGAAAATTATATTTGCTTACCCATGTATTACTAAACATTAACAAGGCTCCAAAGTATAAAAGTTACATGACATTACATAGCACATTGACCAATACCTTGGATCTGTGATCTGGAATCTGTACTGTTCTTGAACTCTAATAAGTCCAGATAGTTGAGGCTTGAAAAATGTCTCAGAAAAGGTCTCATGGATCTACTGCGATGAAGGAAGATGACAGCATAGCCTTCTTGGAGGAAATATCTGGAGTCTTTAAGGACAATAACACAGCAACAAACAAATAACACATGTAGAATTTAACCCACATTTTCTCTCCTATTGGATGCACCCCTTAAGCTTTTGCCCGTAGGGGACAGAAACATCTAAAAAAATAATAATGCAAAAGCCCAAATTGAATATGGGTTTAAATTTGCCATCTAAATCAGGAGATATCATTATCTTGAATGTCTTACAAATTCTTATTTATTTTATATTTATTCTCCAATAGAATATACACATGTACTTACTTGGTAGAGTATTTTGAGAATTACACATTATCAGGATACAGAAAAAAAAGGTAAATATCAACATAATGTTTTTTTCTGTATCCTTATAATGTTTGACGCACAATAAAACTTTTATAAAACTATTGACATGAACAGATGGGTTTTTTCATTACATTAGTGGGAGGATTGGGCTATTGGGATATATGTAGTGTGGGCGAATACAATGAGGCAAAATATAGACAAATATATACAATAAAGTATTACATTCAGTAAAATTAATTAAATTTGATAAAAACAATGAAAACTTTGACTAAATCAAATTTGATTAATGAGCTCTCACACACCAAGTCATATTTGATATAATTTCACTGTACATGTGCCTTCCGTTCCTGTACCGTATACTTTCCTATGAAAAGGATACTCAGCTGATGATGCTCCTCTTGTTCCACTACTGAAGTTGTCGAGGAAGCGTACAGTGCGGCTCTCCAATGGTACCTTGGTTCCACCAGACTGAAAGACAGGTATAATTTAAAAGAAAAACAAAACATTTGTACATGCACAAAATATGGTTTTAGTTAGTAATAACCTTATGGATTGTTTATCTTCTTATTTAGATCAGCTTTTTCTTTAAATGCAAGTAGGTAATGGGTTGTTTTGCCCTAAATCCTGTTCGCGCTAAGGGCTGTTTGCCAATTTTTTTTTAAATTTATACGCTAATATAATAATTACTATTTAAATATTTCAACTAAACTTATTGATAACTTTCTACATTGGTGAAAAAAATGCAACTGTGCGTGTGTTGAGTCAGCTTTTCACAGCTGCCGTTAACGTTTGTCATACTCGCTAAAAAAAAACACAAACAACTTTTTTTTTGTATAAAATTGATTTTAATGAAATGGAGAAATAAAAAAAAATGAATGTGTGACTTAAAACTTCTAAAATTCAAAGAAAATACCCAACAATGTTTCGCCTTAAAACTTTAGGTTAAGGGCGAAACATCCTAGCGCAAAACAACCTAGGGCGAACGGGATTTCGGGCGAAACAACCCGGAAACGATTAAGTATTTCCCCAATATATGTTCTCCTTCTCCTTTTATAAGAGGGTCAATCAACTAAAGCACCTATTGATAAGATCAACCACACTGATTGAACACTCTTAAACAAAGTAAGTAACGACCAACTGACTGACAGAACGGTTCCGTGTTGTTTTGCCCCAAATCACGTTCGCCCTAGGTTGTTTCGCGCCAGGTTGTTTCGCCCTAAAACATATTTTTTAGGGCGAAACATTGTTTGGTATTTTCTTTTCATTTTTATTTGTTTTAAGTCACAAATTAAGTCTTTTTAGTCTTTCATATCATTAAAATCAGTTTTATTTAAAAAAAAAAGGGGGTTTGTGTGGTTTTAAAGCAAAAAACGGATTACGTTATTTTCTTAACGCCGACACACATTATAACATATATTGAATTTAATTTTAGAAATAAGTAAGAATTGTGAAATGAAACAAAAATGGTGTAATTTTAAAAATTGCGGGGTATACAACAATATTATTTTCCATGTTAACACATTTAAATTAGTTTAGTATACGGCTGTACGCATACTCGTCGCCATGTGACGATGTTTTCTTTACCTGATTTCTGCACACGTCTGTGTTGTTTTTTGCTAATTGGAGATTATGTCCATTTTGAGAAGTTTTGATAGTACCACGGAATTAGATTTAAGTCTGTGATGGTACCGGACAATGAAAATTAATATGCATATTTGAGTAGATAATTTTGAGTAGGTAACTTGTCATAAATAGAGCATTTCTCAATACTGTGTTATAATTCAACATTAGTAATGTTGAGTTATAACACAGTACTGAGAAATGCTCTATTTATAACAAGTTACAAAATGCACAAATCATCCATAACGTAATTTACGTTATGGATGATTTGTGCATTTTGTGCGACTCCGTGGTTAGACGCAGACAGCATGGTATCTGAAGTGATGTGTGTGACTGTTGGCAGCATAGAACCTGGCAGCATAGAACCTGCCAGACTGACAAGTACATTATTATACAAGTATATTTAATGTATTTTGATAATTCCCTAAGTAAATTGCCAACGTTTATTTCATAATTCAAATGTACACATCTGCTTAACAATTAAAATACGTATCTATGTACTTGGGGAATTATTTACATTTCGTATACGTCTCTAGAGAAAGTATTTTTTTTTTTTTTCATCCTTATACGCAATTAATATACGTATGTAGTTTCAGTCTATATACGCAATTTGTAACTAATCTATGTCCATTTCGTATACGTATCTATGTACTTAGAGAAATTAATTTAGTTTCATTATATGTCCATATCTTATCTATATATTATAAGTATTGTACTTAGAGAAATTAATTTAGTTTCATTATATCATAATATCCATATCTTATCTATATATCATAGATATATATAATTAAAGTATTATTTTTTTTTTATTCTTATACGCAATTTGTACCTAATCTATGTCCATTTCGTATACGTATCTATGTACTAAGAGAAATTTGTTTTATATAAAATGGCTGACGTGACAGGGTGCTTTTTAATTGTTTATATCATGTTTTAAATATTTTTAACGTTAAAATATATACAGGTGCATTTTATAAAGAACAACATTACTTAATTAAGGTAAAGAAATGAAAACGATAATATACAGTATATTCCGGATATTAGTATGTCCGTTGTAGGATTCGGTGATGAATATACAGGTTCGTTCTTCACCTTCCGGCACGTAATTATATCTTGATTCAAGAGAAAGATATTTTTTTTAACTTTTAACATGATATTTATGACTTAAAGAAAAAATATTTTTTTAGGGCGAAACAACCTGGGGCGAACGGGATTTGAGGCGAAACAACCCTTAGGGCGAACGGGATTTGGGGCGAAACAACCCTTAGGGCGAACGGGATTTGGGGCGAAACAACCCGTTACCGACAGAACAGTGGAAGATGTTGATGAAATGCTAGCACAATTTATATAACTCCTCAACTTTCGTCTGAATTTCTCAAGAAGATACATTAATTCAGCAATTCTTATTTACAATTAGCTCCAGAGTGATGTTTTTATAATGTACCACTTCAAGTTCTATAAGACATTGCAAGTACTGCTCTTTGTTTATTTCCCGAAATCGAAGCTGAAATCAGATTGAAATTGCATGTCGTGTAATTTAATGTTGGACTAATCGATTGGATGAAACTGGAACTCTTACAGTCACGAGAACAACCAATCTTCCTTTCTGCTTTTGTCTCTCCACAAAACCATTCAATTCTGATCTTGTAGCTTCAAATTTATCAGGAACAGACACCTGCCGCAGGAAATTTGAAATATCTTCAGCCATTTTTCAACAAGGCAATGTTACAGAGACGCTTTATGAAATATGAATTTCGTTTCAAACTCACTTGCGACTAAGACAAAAACGCCGACTATTTGGCCCTCCTTGACAGGAGAGTTATCGTTCAAAGTTTTGTTATCTTTCAAGGTTGACGGTAAGTGTCCCATTTATTCCTCTCGTTATTTGCATATGTCTGTCAATACCCTGTGTTATCTCGATAGTCAGCTTCCTCTCTGTCCATCAATGAACCGGGAAAACACAAGTGTGTAAAGTGACACTTCATTCTTTTTTAAGGGTTTGCCAAAAAACATGCACATGTTCAACTGTTCATATAGGAACATGCAATCTTGCATATATATTGTCAAGTCGAACACAAATGCTATTTTGGCCATGCAGCTAATTTGGCCTATAGCTACATGTGGCTTTGTAAGATAGATCTAAAGAAATGCTATTTAGCCATTGAGCTAATTTTGCCTATAGCTAGCAGTGAAAGCTACATGTAGGTTCACTTATTGAATTCATCTTGTTTGTTGTTAGTCTGTACATTTGAATTAGTTAGGTTGTACATACACTGTACAGAAAAGACATAATACAGCTTCTATAAATTTGAATTAGTTAAGTTGTACATACACTGTACAGAAAAGACATGATACAGCTTCTATAAATTTGAATTAGTTAAGTTGTACATACACTGTACAGAAAAGACATGATACAGCTTCTATAAATTTGAATTAGTTAAGTTGTACATACACTGTACAGAAAAGACATGATACAGCTTCTATAAATTTGAATTAGTTAAGTTGTACATACACTGTACAGAAAAGACATGATACAGCTTCTATAAATTTGAATTAGTTAAGTTGTACATACACTGTACAGAAAAGACATGATACAGCTTCTATAAATTTGAATTAGTTAAGTTGTACATACACTGTACAGAAAAGACATGATAGTTAATACAGCTTCAAATTTCCAAACGTATTGTTCTGTTGTTTGAGTTACAGATTCTTGTATATTGCATATGTTTTAACTTGCCTATGACTTTATGAAGTTTTTAATAGTTTTAACTGAGGAATGTTTTCCTCTGGGTATGTGCCACATCTGCAACAATCGACACACCAGAGATAGAATGCAGATTATTGGAAGAAGAAAAACAAGATATTTTTATTCCCAGAAATCATTAGCTATTTTGTCTGTCTTCACACTCAATGTTAAAGCAAATATTTTACCAGAACACGTACACTGTAGAGATAAGAAGTGATCTTAAGTTTCAGATGTTTCTTTAATTTTCATGCTAACAATAGCAAAATGGTAACTTTAACAGGTCAGCTTTGTCAATTGACATACAAATGTTTTATACAAAATGTAAGTGTTAATAGCATGCCAAATTTGGTTTTTAAAGCAGTCAATTTAACCACCTGCTGTCTTTTAAGATAAAACTATAATCTAATAAATGACCCTTATTAAAACTGATATGTAATCTCATGTCCACAGAACAACTCACTTGAGTCTCGTTACCAAATCTAGAACAGATTGATGCTTGTATCATAAAACAGCCTAGTCTGAGTTTCCTCTGGCCCCAAACCAGACATCTGTCTGTCAAAATATGTCTAAGTCTGGTGTCGGGGCCAAAGGAAACCAGGCTATTGCCCCCACACAAGATGCCCCCACACAAGACATATATCTGTCAAAATGTCTTAGTCAGCTGGTGTCAGGGCCAGAGGAAATTTGGGCTATTGTCCCCACACAAGACATCTATAGATCTGTCAAAATGTCCAAATCTGGTGTTAGGGCCAGAGGAAACTCGAGCTATTGTCCCCACACAAGACATCTATAGATCTGTCAAAATGTCTTAGTCGGGTGTCAGGGCCAGAGGAGACTCGGGCTAAAACAGGCTTCCTGTAAACACCAGAACAATTTTATTATTTGTTGATGTAAATTATGTTTTTGTTTTCATTTGTTGCTTCTTAACTTCAGAATTGTTTTGGTATTGTATTGATATGTACTTACTAAATCATTATATAATTTTGTTTTATTTTGTTTTCAGGCGGCAAAACTGATAACAGAGAGCCAGAAATGTTCATTAGACGGTAAGTGACCAGACTGGTGAATTTGACCTCTCCCAGTAAATGCAGTGAACTTTGACCTCCCACATTGATCTGAACTTCTCATTTTGAAAGAATTGTGGGGTTTTAATGTCCGAAATGATTCAGACCCAGTTGCACTTTATCTAATTCACATTATATGTTCAAGTGAAATGAAATAATATTACAGAACCAATTTATAATGGGGAAGTGGACTGAAGAATTAATAGAAGTTTATGAAGCTTCCCTAGCTAACTTGTACACTTTGTTGTTACAGATCCCTACAGCGAGTTGGTGTTGTACTCCGTCATGTTGTGAGTATTGAGTACTGTAATGCTGTACTACGTCATGTTGTGAGTATTGAGTACTGTAATGCTGTCCTCCGTCATGTTGTGGTATTGAGTACTGTAATGCTGTACTCCGACATGTTGTGGTATTGAGTACTGTAATGCTGTACTCTGTCATGTTGTGAGTATTGAGTACTGTAATGCTGTACTCCGTCATGTTGTGAGTATTGAGTACTGTAATGTTGTACTCCGTCATGTTGTAAGTATTGAGTACTGTAATGCTGTACTTCGTCATGTTGTTGTATTGAGTGCTGTAATGCTGTACTCCGTCATGTTGTGGTATTGAGTACTGTAATGCTGTACTCTGTCATGTTGTGAGTATTGAGTACTGTAATGCTGTACTCTGTCATGTTGTGAGTATTTAGTACTGTAATGTTGTATTCCGTCATGTTGTGAGTATTGAGTACTGTAATTCTGTACTCCATCATGTTGTGAGTATTGAGTACTGTACTGTTGTACTCCATCATGTTGTGAGTATTGAGTACTGTAATTCTGTACTCCATCATGTTGTGAGTATTGAGTACTGTACTGTTGTACTCCATCATGTTGTGAGTATTGAGTACTGTACTGTTGTACTCCATCATGTTGTGAGTATTGAGTACTGTAATGTTGTACTCCATCATGTTGTGAGTATTGAGTACTGTAATGCTGTACTCCATCATGTTGTGAGTATTGAGTGCTGTAATGTTTTAATTCATATATGAATACAAATTGAAAATAAATTGTAGCTAATTTTGAGCATTGTAATTGATCAGAATTTTCTTTAGTTACATGCTGGTAAAGGTTTTTATCACTTTCATAATGATTGAGAAAATGTCTTTCCTTTCTGACATGATCAAATTAATTACTTGGTGTTTAGAAATACATCTGATTAAAAGCACAGTTCAGATCAAAATCTCTTAATCATTCTCTCATATCCACATGCTTTTTTTTTGTATTTCGATCTGCATTCCTTTACGTAGCAAATCTATCAAAATTAAAAAATCTCAGGAAAGTTTATTCAGACAGGTAAGCAATAGGCATATAAACTGCTAAAGTTCCGTTTAGAAATCAGTATCCTCGTTTGTATGTATCATTTAAGAAATGAATGTGAAAATAGGTACAATGTACTCATGAAAACTGAATTACAGTTGAATCTAATTAACAAATTTGCTCTTTAATTTGGCAATGAAGCATGTTCTAACAGCATCTCAACAAATTCCAACTTTTTCAGATTAAATATTGATATTTTCAGTATCAAAACCAATTCCAACATTTGTGATTTTGCAGAAAATGGCTGCACCAAGATCTAGATTTTCCACTGTGGCAGAGGATGAGGTTCTGTTACAAACTGTCAACACTACAGGGGTTATAACTCTGAACAGGCCTAAGGCTCTAAACGCCCTCAACTTAAATATGATACAGAGAATCTACCCTCAGATGACAGTAAGTATAACCCTGAACAGGCCTAAGGCTCTAAACGCCCTCAACTTAAATATGATACAGAGAATCTACCCTCAGATGACAGTAAGTATAACTCTGAACAGGCCTAAGGCTCTAAACGCCCTCAACTTAAATATGATACAGAGAATCTACCCTCAGATGACAGTAAGTATAACTCTGAACAGACCTAAGGCTCTAAATGCCCTCAACTTTAATATGATACAAAGAATATACCCTCAGATGACAGTAAGTACAACTCTGAACAGACCTAAGGCTCTAAATGCCCTCAACTTTAATATGATACAAAGAATATACCCTCAGATGACAGTAAGTACAACTCTGAACAGACCTAAGGCTCTAAATGCCCTCAACTTTAATATGATACAAAGAATATACCCTCAGATGACAGTAAGTACAACTCTGAACAGACCTAAGGCTCTAAATGCCCTCAACTTTAATATGATACAAAGAATATACCCTCAGATGACAGTAAGTACAACTCTGAACAGACCTAAGGCTCTAAATGCCCTCAACTTTAATATGATACAAAGAATATACCCTCAGATGACAGTAAGTACAACTCTGAACAGACCTAAGGCTCTAAATGCCCTCAACTTTAATATGATACAAAGAATATACCCTCAGATGACAGTAAGTACAACTCTGAACAGACCTAAGGCTCTAAATGCCCTCAACTTAAATATGATACAGAGAATATACCCTCAGATGACAGTAAGTACAACTCTGAACAGACCTAAGGCTCTAAATGCCCTCAACTTTAATATGATACAAAGAATATACCCTCAGATGACAGTAAGTACAACTCTGAACAGACCTAAGGCTCTAAATGCCCTCAACTTTAATATGATACAAAGAATATACCCTCAGATGACAGTAAGTACAACTCTGAACAGACCTAAGGCTCTAAATGCCCTCAACTTTAATATGATACAAAGAATATACCCTCAGATGACAGTAAGTACAACTCTGAACAGACCTAAGGCTCTAAATGCCCTCAACTTTAATATGATACAAAGAATATACCCTCAGATGACAGTAAGTACAACTCTGAACAGACCTAAGGCTCTAAATGCCCTCAACTTTAATATGATACAAAGAATATACCCTCAGATGACAGTAAGTACAACTCTGAACAGACCTAAGGCTCTAAATGCCCTCAACTTTAATATGATACAAAGAATATACCCTCAGATGACAGTAAGTACAACTCTGAACAGACCTAAGGCTCTAAATGCCCTCAACTTTAATATGATACAAAGAATATACCCTCAGATGACAGTAAGTACAACTCTGAACAGACCTAAGGCTCTAAATGCCCTCAACTTTAATATGATACAAAGAATATACCCTCAGATGACAGTAAGTACAACTCTGAACAGACCTAAGGCTCTAAATGCCCTCAACTTTAATATGATACAAAGAATCTACCCTCAGATGACAGTAAGTACAACTCTGAACAGACCTAAGGCTCTAAATGCCCTCAACTTTAATATGATACAAAGAATATACCCTCAGATGACAGTAAGTACAACTCTGAACAGACCTAAGGCTCTAAATGCCCTCAACTTTAATATGATACAAAGAATATACCCTCAGATGACAGTAAGTACAACTCTGAACAGACCTAAGGCTCTAAATGCCCTCAACTTTAATATGATACAAAGAATATACCCTCAGATGACAGTAAGTACAACTCTGAACAGACCTAAGGCTCTAAATGCCCTCAACTTTAATATGATACAAAGAATATACCCTCAGATGACAGTAAGTACAACTCTGAACAGACCTAAGGCTCTAAATGCCCTCAACTTTAATATGATACAAAGAATATACCCTCAGATGACAGTAAGTACAACTCTGAACAGACCTAAGGCTCTAAATGCCCTCAACTTTAATATGATACAAAGAATATACCCTCAGATGACAGTAAGTACAACTCTGAACAGACCTAAGGCTCTAAATGCCCTCAACTTAAATATGATACAGAGAATATACCCTCAGATGACAGTAAGTACAACTCTGAACAGACCTAAGGCTCTAAATGCCCTCAACTTTAATATGATACAAAGAATATACCCTCAGATGACAGTAAGTACAACTCTGAACAGACCTAAGGCTCTAAATGCCCTCAACTTTAATATGATACAAAGAATATACCCTCAGATGACAGTAAGTACAACTCTGAACAGACCTAAGGCTCTAAATGCCCTCAACTTTAATATGATACAAAGAATATACCCTCAGATGACAGTAAGTACAACTCTGAACAGACCTAAGGCTCTAAATGCCCTCAACTTTAATATGATACAAAGAATATACCCTCAGATGACAGTAAGTACAACTCTGAACAGACCTAAGGCTCTAAATGCCCTCAACTTTAATATGATACAAAGAATATACCCTCAGATGACAGTAAGTACAACTCTGAACAGACCTAAGGCTCTAAATGCCCTCAACTTTAATATGATACAAAGAATATACCCTCAGATGACAGTAAGTACAACTCTGAACAGACCTAAGGCTCTAAATGCCCTCAACTTAAATATGATACAGAGAATATACCCTCAGATGACAGTAAGTACAACTCTGAACAGACCTAAGGCTCTAAATGCCCTCAACTTTAATATGATACAAAGAATATACCCTCAGATGACAGTAAGTACAACTCTGAACAGACCTAAGGCTCTAAATGCCCTCAACTTTAATATGATACAAAGAATATACCCTCAGATGACAGTAAGTACAACTCTGAACAGACCTAAGGCTCTAAATGCCCTCAACTTTAATATGATACAAAGAATATACCCTCAGATGACAGTAAGTACAACTCTGAACAGACCTAAGGCTCTAAATGCCCTCAACTTTAATATGATACAAAGAATATACCCTCAGATGACAGTAAGTACAACTCTGAACAGACCTAAGGCTCTAAATGCCCTCAACTTTAATATGATACAAAGAATATACCCTCAGATGACAGTAAGTACAACTCTGAACAGACCTAAGGCTCTAAATGCCCTCAACTTTAATATGATACAAAGAATATACCCTCAGATGACAGTAAGTACAACTCTGAACAGACCTAAGGCTCTAAATGCCCTCAACTTAAATATGATACAGAGAATATACCCTCAGATGACAGTAAGTACAACTCTGAACAGACCTAAGGCTCTAAATGCCCTCAACTTTAATATGATACAAAGAATATACCCTCAGATGACAGTAAGTACAACTCTGAACAGACCTAAGGCTCTAAATGCCCTCAACTTTAATATGATACAAAGAATATACCCTCAGATGACAGTAAGTACAACTCTGAACAGACCTAAGGCTCTAAATGCCCTCAACTTTAATATGATACAAAGAATATACCCTCAGATGACAGTAAGTACAACTCTGAACAGACCTAAGGCTCTAAATGCCCTCAACTTTAATATGATACAAAGAATATACCCTCAGATGACAGTAAGTACAACTCTGAACAGACCTAAGGCTCTAAATGCCCTCAACTTTAATATGATACAAAGAATATACCCTCAGATGACAGTAAGTACAACTCTGAACAGACCTAAGGCTCTAAATGCCCTCAACTTTAATATGATACAAAGAATATACCCTCAGATGACAGTAAGTACAACTCTGAACAGACCTAAGGCTCTAAATGCCCTCAACTTTAATATGATACAAAGAATATACCCTCAGATGACAGTAAGTACAACTCTGAACAGACCTAAGGCTCTAAATGCCCTCAACTTTAATATGATACAAAGAATCTACCCTCAGATGACAGTAAGTACAACTCTGAACAGACCTAAGGCTCTAAATGCCCTCAACTTAAATATGATACAGAGAATATACCCTCAAATGACAGTAAGTATAACTCTGAACAGACCTAAGGCTCTAAATGTCCTCAATTAAGTGAAATATGATACAGAGAATCTACCCTCAGATGACAGTAAATATAACTCTGAACAGACCCAAGGCTCTAAATGTCCTCAATTAAGTGAAATATGATACAGAGAATATACCCTCAGATGACAGTAAGTATAACTCTGAACAGACCTAAGGCTCTAAATGTCCTCAATTAAGTGAAATATGATACAGAGAATCTACCCTCAGATGACAGTAAATATAACTCTGAACAGACCCAAGGCTCTAAATGTCCTCAATTAAGTGAAATATGATACAGAGAATATACCCTCAGATGACAGTAAGTATAACTCTGAACAGACCTAAGGCTCTAAATGTCCTCAATTAAGTGAAATATGATACAGAGAATCTACCCTCAGATGACAGTAAATATAACTCTGAACAGACCCAAGGCTCTAAATGTCCTCAATTAAGTGAAATATGATACAGAGAATATACCCTCAGATGACAGTAAGTATAACTCTGAACAGACCTAAGGCTCTAAATGCCCTCAACTTAAATATGATACAAAGAATCTACCCTCAGATGACAGTAAGTATAACTCTGAACAGACCTAAGGCTCTAAATGTCCTCAATTAAGTGAAATATGATACAGAGAATCTACCCTCTAACTCTGTCTGAAATCTGAAAGAGGAATATATTAGCATGGCTCCATGTATACCAATAACCATATTCAACTGTCAAATTGCTTTTCAAACAGGATTTGTTTTTACTTTTCACAAGTTTATATATGTACTGTAGTTCTAACTTAACAATTATTTTAAAAATTATTGTAGAAATGGGAAGAGAACACGAAAATAAGACTGGTGATAATAAAAGGAGCTGGAGAGAAGGCCTTCTGTGCTGGTGGTGACATCAGAGGTAGGGGAGGTATAGAAGAGAAGGCCTTCTGTGCTGGTGGTTACATCAGATGTAGGGAAGGTATAGGAGAGAAGGCCTTCTATGCTGGTGGTGACATCAAATGTAAGAGAGGTATATGAGAGAAGGCCTCCTGTGCTGGTGGTGACATCAGGGGTAGGGGAGGTATAGGAGAGAAGGACTTCTGTGCTGGTGGTGACATCAGAGGTAGGGGAGGTATATGAGAAAAGGCCTTCTGTGCTGGTGGTGACATCAGAGGTAAGAGAGGTATAGGAGAGAATGCCTTCTGTGCTGGTGGTGACATTAGAGGTAAGGGAGGTATAGGAGAGAAGGCCTTCTGTGCTGGTGGTGACATCAGAGGTAGGGGAGGTATAGGAGAGAAGGCCTTCTGTGCTGGTGGTTACATCAGATGTAGGGGAGGTAAAGGAGAGAAGGCCTTCTGTGCTGGTGGTGACAGCAGAGGTAGGGGAGGTATAGGAGAGAAGGCCTTCTGTGCTGGCGGTGACCGCAGAGGTAAGGCTGGTATAGGAGAGAAGGCCTTCTGTGCTGGGGGTGACAGCAGAGGTAAGGCTGGTATAGGAGAGAAGGCCTTCTGTGCTGGTGGTGACAGCAGAGGTAGGGGAGGTATAGGAGAGAAGGCCTTCTGTGCTGGGGGTGACAGCAGAGGTAAGGCTGGTATAGGAGAGAAGGCCTTCTGTGCTGGGGGTGACAGCAGAGGTAAGGCTGGTATAGGAGAGAAGGCCTTCTGTGCTGGTGGTTACATCAGAGGTAGGGGAGGTATAGGAGAGAAGGCCTTCTCTGCTGGTGGTGACATCAGATGTAGAGGAGGTATAGGAGAGAAGGCCTTCTATGCTGGTGGTAACATCAGGGGTAGGGAAGGTATTGGAGAGAAGGCCTTCTGTGCTGGTGTTGACATCAGAGGTAGGGGATGTATGGGAGAGGAGGCCTTCTGTGCTGGTGGTGACATCAGAGGTAGGGGATGTATAGGAGAGAATGCCTTCTATGCTGGTGGTGACATCAGAGGTAGGGGAGGTATAGGAGAGAAGGCCTTCTCTGCTGGTGGTGACATCAGGGGTAGAGGAGGTATAGGAGAGAAGGCCTTCTATGCTGGTGGTAGCATCAGGGGTAGGGGAGGTATTGGAGAGAAGGCCTTCTGTGCTGGTGTTGACATCAGAGGTAGGGGATGTATGGGAGAGGAGGCCTTCTGTGCTGGTGGTGACATCAGAGGTAAGAGAGGTATAGGAGAGAAGGCCTTCTGTGCTGGTGGTTACATCAGAGGTATGGGAGGTATAGGAGAGAAGGCCTTCTCTGCTGGTGGTGACATCAGAGGTAGAGGAGGTATAGGAGAGAAGGCCTTCTATGCTGGTGGTAACATCAGGGGTAGGGGAGGTATTGGAGAGAAGGCCTTCTGTGCTGGTGTTGACATCAGAGGTAGGGGATGTATGGGAGAGGAGGCCTTCTGTGCTGGTGGTGACATCAGAGGTAGAGGAGGTATAGGAGAGAAGGCCTTCTGTGCTGGTGGTGACATCAGAGGTAGGGGAGGTATAGGAGAGAAGGCCTTCTGTGCTGGTGGTGACATCAGAGGTAGGGGAGGTATAGGAGAGAAGGCCTTCTGTGCTGGTGGTGACATCAGAGGTAGGGGAGGTATAGGAGAGAAGGCCTTCTGTGCTGGTGGTGACATCAGAGGTAGGGGAGGTATAGGAGAGAAGGCCTTCTGTGCTGGTGGTGACATCAGAGGTAGGGGAGGTATAGGAGAGAAGGCCTTCTGTGCTGGTGGTGACATCAGAGGTAGGGGAGGTATAGGAGAGAAGGCCTTCTGTGCTGGTGGTGACATCAGAGGTAGGGGAGGTATAGGAGAGAAGGCCTTCTGTGCTGGTGGTGACATCAGAGGTAGGGGAGGTATAGGAGAGAAGGCCTTCTGTGCTGGTGGTGACATCAGAGGTAGGGGAGGTATAGGAGAGAAGGCCTTCTGTGCTGGTGGTGACATCAGAGGTAGGGGAGGTATAGGAGAGAAGGCCTTCTGTGCTGGTGGTGACATCAGAGGTAGGGGAGGTATAGGAGAGAAGGCCTTCTGTGCTGGTGGTGACATCAGAGGTAGGGGAGGTATAGGAGAGAAGGCCTTCTGTGCTGGTGGTGACATCAGAGGTAGGGGAGGTATAGGAGAGAAGGCCTTCTGTGCTGGTGGTGACATCAGAGGTAGGGGAGGTATAGGAGAGAAGGCCTTCTGTGCTGGTGGTGACATCAGAGGTAGGGGAGGTATAGGAGAGAAGGCCTTCTGTGCTGGTGGTGACATCAGAGGTAGGGGAGGTATAGGAGAGAAGGCCTTCTGTGCTGGTGGTGACATCAGAGGTAGGGGAGGTATAGGAGAGAAGGCCTTCTGTGCTGGTGGTGACATCAGAGGTAGGGGAGGTATAGGAGAGAAGGCCTTCTGTGCTGGTGGTGACATCAGAGGTAGGGGAGGTATAGGAGAGAAGGCCTTCTGTGCTGGTGGTGACATCAGAGGTAGGGGAGGTATAGGAGAGAAGGCCTTCTGTGCTGGTGGTGACATCAGAGGTAGGGGAGGTATAGGAGAGAAGGCCTTCTGTGCTGGTGGTGACATCAGAGGTAGGGGAGGTATAGGAGAGAAGGCCTTCTGTGCTGGTGGTGACATCAGAGGTAGGGGAGGTATAGGAGAGAAGGCCTTCTGTGCTGGTGGTGACATCAGAGGTAGGGGAGGTATAGGAGAGAAGGCCTTCTGTGCTGGTGGTGACATCAGAGGTAGGGGAGGTATAGGAGAGAAGGCCTTCTGTGCTGGTGGTGACATCAGAGGTAGGGGAGGTATAGGAGAGAAGGCCTTCTGTGCTGGTGGTGACATCAGAGGTAGGGGAGGTATAGGAGAGAAGGCCTTCTGTGCTGGTGGTGACATCAGAGGTAGGGGAGGTATAGGAGAGAAGGCCTTCTGTGCTGGTGGTGACATCAGAGGTAGAGGAGGTATAGGAGAGAAGGCCTTCTGTGCTGGTGGTGACATCAGAGGTAGAGGAGGTATAGGAGAGAAGGCTTTCTGTGCTGGTGGTGACATCAGGGGTAGGGGAAGTATAGGAGAGAAGGCCTTCTGTGCTGGTGGTGACAGCAGAGGTAAGGCTGTTATAGGAGAGAAGGCCTTCTGTGCTGGCGGTGACAGCAGAGGTAAGGCTGTTATAGGAGAGAAGGCCTTCTGTGCTGGTGTAGGGGAGGTATAGAAGAGAAGGCCTTCTGTGCTGGTGGTGACAGCAGAGGTAGAGGAGGTATAGGAGAGAAGGCCTTCTGTGCTGGTGGTGACATCAGAGGTAGGGGAGGTATAGGAGAAAAGGCCTTCTGTGCTGGTGGTTACATCAGATGTAGGGGAGGTATAGGAGAAAAGGCCTTTTCTGCTGGTGGTGACATCAGAGGTAGAGGAGGTATAGGAGAAAAGGCCTTCTATGCTGGTGTTGACATCAGAGGTAGGGGATGTATGGGAGAGGAGGCCTTCTAGGTATAGGAGAGAAGGCCTTCTGTGCTGGTGGTGACAGCAGAGGAAAGGCTGTTATAGGAGAGAAGGCCTTCTGTGCTGGTGGTGACAGCAGAGGTAAGGCTGGTATAGGAGAGAAGGCCTTCTGTGCTGGTGGTGACATCAGGGGTAGGGGAAGTATAGGAGAGAAGGCCTTCTGTGCTGGTGGTGACAGCAGAGGTAAGGCTGTTATAGGAGAGAAGGCCTTCTGTGCTGGTGGTGACATCAGGGGTAGGGGAGGTATAGGAGAGAAGGCCTTCTGTGCTGGTGTTGACATCAGAGGTAGGGGAGGTAAAGGAGAGAAGGCCTTTTGTGCTGGTGGTGACATCAGGGGTAGGGGAGGTATGGGAGAGGAGGCCTTCTGTGCTGGTGGTGACATCAGGGGTAGGGGAGGTATGGGAAAGAATGCCTTCTGTGCTGGTGTTGACATCAGAGGTAAGAGAGGTATAGGAGAGAAGGCCTTCTGTGCTGGTGGTGACATCAGAGGTAGGGGAGGTATAGGAGAGAAGGCCGTCTGTGCTGGTGTTGACATCAGAGGTAATAGAGGTATAGGAGAGAAGGCCTTCTGTGCTGGTGGTGACATCAGAGGTAGGGGAGGTATGGGAGAGAAGCCCTTCTGTGCTGGTGGTGACATCAGAGGTAAGAGAGGTATAGGAGAGAAGGCCTTCTGTGCTGGGGGTGACATCAGAGGGAGGGGAGGTATAGGAGAGAAGGCCTTCTTTGCTTGAGGTGACATCAGAGGTAGGGGATGTATAGGAGAGAATGCCTTCTATGCTGGTGGTGACATCAGAGGTAGGGGAGGTATAGGAGAGAAGGCCTTCTTTGCTTGTGGTGACATCAGAGGTAGGGGATGTATAGGAGAGAATGCCTTCTATGCTGGTGGTGACATCAGAGGTAGGGGAGGTATAGGAGAGAAGGCCGTCTGTGCTGGTGTTGACACCAGAGGTAGGGGAGGTATAGGAGAGAAGGCCTTCTGTGCTGGTGTTGACACCAGAGGTATATGTAGGGAAGTCATAGGAGGAGGAAGGAACACCATACAATATGTCAAAAATAGGTCAATGTAATATGTAGTAAAATTGCTAAATTATAATATATATCTGCACATTTATGTAGGAAATTTGATAACTGTTGGACCCTGATGTGATGAATTTAATACACAAGTTTGACTTATTAGCTCTGAAAGGCAACTTGTGACAAACATTGATCTTCAAGGCTTTAAAATGTTTGTTTGTATTCAGGAAATTCTTAAATTTTATTATACAAATGTACTGCTATTTCATTACCGCTGGGAAACTTTTGGTAAAAAAAAAATGAATTGTGTGGGTCAAACTCGTATAAACTGTTTAATGATTGTTTGTGAGAGAGAAATAGAACAAAGAAATGATATCTAGTTAATACCTCCAGGAAGTCATCACTGCATGTGAATCTTTTAAAACAAAAGATAAATTAGAAAAGACCTGTACTAATTTGGAATAAAATAAAAAGAAACGCTTGTCGATTTTCAGCTGTGACAGAAGCAGGGAAGGTTGGAGACTCGCTTGCTCAAGATTTCTTCAAGGAGGAATACATTCTAAACTACAAAATTGGTAATTATTCAACAACATAACATATTGGACTTTTGTTTTCATACAAACCTTGCCTAGCTTTAAATCTGCATCAGTGACACTGTGACTTGTCTTTGATACTTTTTTCCATGTCTTCCACAGGTACCTATGACTTACCTTATGTGGCTCTAATTGACGGAATCACCATGGGAGGAGTAAGTTCTAAGATATATATGTAATGTTTAGGTTTTCATGGGTTGAATCTGTGTTATTACATCCATGGATCATAGGAACTGTACTGCACACAGATTTTTGTCTATACCTAAATAATTTTTTGTATGTGATAAAAGTTATTTTTATATGTGATCAAAGTTATAGATAAAAAGTAAAAATATGGAAATTCAAAACTGCATACAGAAATTTGATTTTGAACAAATTACCATATTTGCATCAAACATCAATATCCTGATATATATACATAGTGTTATCATCATGTATGCTTGTAATGTGTCTGCTTTTGGTAGGGAGACTGATGTTGGTTTCCTGTAATTTTTGACTTCTGAAAGCATCAGAATTCCTTACACCTGACAACTTGCTGAAATTTAATTAATTGTACAGAACGAATGACAATGTATGCCACGTTATTGTCCAGTAGAAGTCAATATTAAGTGTACAAGACAGTCAATGTGGCAAGGAAATCAATTAAAATATTGACAACTTACCGGTAATGGCAAGTTATAGTGTTCATGTAACTTAGTAGCATTTACCACAATATTGAAGATCTATTATTTTTATATGTAAGTCACAAATAAGGTATATAAGATCTATTATTATATGTAGGTATATAAGATTTATTATTATATGTAAGTCACAGCTATATAAGATCTATTATTATATGTAAGTCGCAAATAAGGTATATAAGATCAATTATTATATGTAAGTCACAAATAAGGTATATAAGATCTATTATTATATGTAAGTCACAAATAAGGTATATTAGATCTATCATTATATGTAAGTCACAAATGAGGTATATTAGATCTATTATTTTTATATGTAAGTCACAAATGAGGTATATAAGATCTATTATTATATGTAAGTCACAAATAAGGTATTTTAGATCTATTTGTATATGTAAGTCACAAATGAGGTATATAACATCTGTTATTACCTGTAAGTCACAAATAAGGTATATTAGATCTATTATTATATGTAAGTCACAAATAAGGTATATAAGATCTATTATTATTATGTGTTTTTCTTTCTGCAGGGTGTGGGTTTGTCCGTTCATGGCGACTTTCGTGTTGCTACAGAGAAAACACTGTTTGCCATGCCAGAAACAGCAATAGGTATGTGAGATATGTTGAAAAATATAAAAAGATATTGAATATTCAAGGTCCCCAAAAATAACTATTATTGTGAAACTACTTGCAAATAGTGTTCTTCTAATAATTTTTGTTTTGATAAATCTTGGTTGAACAGGTCACAAATGTGGTAATGTTTCATACATCACAAAAGTCTTACAATTAAATCCAAGACCAGGGTTCATTAGCTGTTTATATCATTAAAGTGGTGTGTAGTATTGCCTTTAAGCTTTGAGCTACATTGGCAGCTGTTTAGTTTCCCTTGACATCATATAACTGTAGGTAGATGGATGGACCGGAGCAGTAACCTCATATTACTGTAGATAGATGGATGGACCTGAGCCGTAACCTCATACTACTGTAGGTAGATGGATGGACCTGAGGCGTAACCTCATATTACTGTAGGTAGATGGATGGACCTCAGCAGTAACCTCATATTACTGTAGGTAGATGGATGGACCTGAGCAGTAACCTCATATTACTGTAGATAGATGGATGGACCTGAGCAGTAACCTCATACTACTGTAGGTAGATGGATGGACCTGAGCCGTAACCTCATATTACTGTAGGTAGATGGATGGACCTCAGCAGTAACCTCATATTACTGTAGGTAGATGGATGTACCTGAGCAGTAACCTCATATTACTGTAGGTAGAAGATGGATCTGAGCAGTACCTCATATTACTGTAGGTAGATGGATGGACCTCAGCAGTAACCTCATATTACTGTAGGTAGATGGATGTACCTGAGCAGTAACCTCATATTACTGTAGGTAGAAGATGGATCTGAGCAGTACCTCATATTACTGTAGGTAGATGGATGGACCTCAGCAGTAACCTCATATTACTGTAGGTAGATGGATGGACCTGAGCAGTAACCTCATATTACTGTAGGTAGATGATGGATCTGAGCAGTACCTCATATTACTGTAGGTAGATGGATGGACCTGAGCAGTAACCTCATATTACTGTAGATAGATGGATGGACCGCAGCAGTAACCTCATACTACTGTAGGTAGATGGATGGACCTGAGCATTTACCTCATATTACTGTAGATAGATGGATGGACCTGAGCAGTAACCTCATATTACTGTAGGTAGATGGATGGACCTGAGCAGTAACCTCATATTACTGTAGATAGATGGATGGACCTGAGCAGTAACCTCATATTACTGTAGATAGATGGATGGACCTGAGCAGTAACCTCATATTACTGTAGATAGATGGATGGACCTGAGCAGTAACCTCATATTGCTGAAGATAGATGGATGGACCTGAGCAGTAACCTCATATTACTGTAGATAGATGGATGGACCTGAGCATTAACCTCATATTACTGTAGATAGATGGATGGACCTGAGCAGGAACCGCATATTACTGGAGATAGATGGATGGACCTGAGCAGTAACCTCATATTACAGGTAATGTGGACCTGAGCCGTAACCTCATATTACTGTAGGTAGATGGATGGACCTTAGCAGTAACCTCATATTGCTGAAGATAGATGGATGGACCTGAGCAGTAACCTCCTATTACTGTAGGTAATGTGGACCTGAGCAGTAACCTCATATTACTGTAGATAGATGGATGGACCTGAGCAGTAACCTCCTATTACTGTAGGTAATGTGGACCTGAGCCGTAACCTCATATTACTGTAGGTAGATGGATGGAGCTGAGCAGTAACCTCATATTACTGTAGATAGATGGATGGACCTGAGCAGTACCTCATATTACTGTAGGTAGATGGATGGACCTGAGCAGTAACCTCATATTACTGTCGGTAGATGGATGGACCTGAGGATTTACCTTATATTACTGTAGGTAGATGGATGGACCTGAGCAGTAACCTCATATTACTGTAGATAGATGGATGCACCTGAGCAGTAACCTCATATTTCTGTAGATAGATGGATGCACCTGAGCAGTAACCTCATATTACTGTAGGTAGATGGATGGACCTGAGCATTTACCTCATATTACTGTAGGTAGATGGATGGACCTGAGCAGTAACCTCATAGTACTGTAGATAGATGGATGCACCTGAGCAGTAACCTCATATTACTGTAGGTAGTTGGATGGACCTGAGCATTAACCTCATATTACTGTAGGTAGATGGATGGACATGAGCAGTAACCTCATATTACTGTAGGGAGATGGATGGACCTGAGCAGTAGCTCATATTACTGTAGATAGATGGATGGACCTGAGCGGTAACCTCATATTACTGTAGGTAGATAGATGGAGCTGAGCAGTAACATCATATTACTGTAGGTAGATGGATGGACCTGAGAAGTACCTCATATTACTGTAGGTAGTTGGATGGACCTGAGCATTAACCTCATATTACTGTAGGTAGATGGATGGACATGAGCAGTAACCTCATATTACTGTAGGGAGATGGATGGACCTGAGCAGTAGCTCATATTACTGTAGATAGATGGATGGACCTGAGCGGTAACCTCATATTACTGTAGGTAGATAGATGGACCTGAGCAGTAACCTCATATTACTGAAGATAGATGGATGGACCTGAGCAGTAACCTCATATAACTGTAGATAGATGGATTGACCTGAGCGGATGGACCTGAGCAGTAACCTCATATTACTGTAGATACATGGATGCACCTGAGCAGTAACCTCATATTTCTGTAGATATATGGATGCACCTGAGCAGTAACCTCATATTACTGTAGATAGATGGGTGGACCGTAGATGGATGGACCTGAGCAGTAACCTCATATTTCTGTAGATAGATGGATGCACCTGAGCAGTAACCTCATATTACTGTAGATAGTTGGATGCACCTGAGCAGTAACCTCATATTTCTGTAGATAGATGGATGCTCCTGAGCAGTAACCTCATATTACTGTAGGTAGATTGATGGACCTGAGCATTTACCTCATATTACTGTAGGTAGATGGATGGACCTTAGCAGTAACATCATATTGCTGAAGATAGATGGATGGACCTGAGCAGTAACCTCATATAACTGTAGATAGATGGATTGACCTGAGCGGATGGACCTGAGCAGTAACCTCATATTACTGTGGGTAGATGGATGGACCTGAGCAGTAACCTCATAGTACTGTAGATAGATGGATGCACCTGAGCAGTAACCTCATATTCCTGTAGGTAGATGGATGGCCTTAAGCAGTACCTCATATTACTGTAGATAGATGGATGGACCTAAGCAGTAACCTCATATTACTGTAGATAGATGGATGGACCTGAGCAGGAACCTCATATTACTGTAGGTAGATAGATGGAGCTGAGCAGTAACATCATATTACTGTAGGTAGATGGATGGACCTGAGCAGTGCCTCATATTACTGTAGATAGATGGATGGACCTGAGCATTAACCTCATATTACTGTAGATAGATGGATGGACCTGAGCGGTAACCTCATATTACTGTAGGTAGATAGATGGACCTGAGCAGTAACCTCATATTACTGTAGCTCATATTACTGTAGATAGATGGATGGACCTGAGCAGTAACCTCATATAACTGTAGATAGATGGATTGACCTGAGCAGTAACCTCATATTACTGTAGGTAGATAGATGGAGCTGAGCAGTAACCTCATATTACTGTAGGTAGATGGATGGACCTGAGAAGTACCTCATATTACTGTGGGTAGATGGATGGACCTGAGCAGTAACCTCATATAACTGTAGATAGATGGATTGACCTGAGCGGATGGACCTGAGCAGTAACCTCATATTACTGTGGGTAGATGGATGGACCTGAGCAGTAACCTCATATTACTGAAGGTAGATGGATGGACCTGAGCAGTACCTCATATTACTGTAGGCAGATGGATGGACCTGAGCAGTAACCTCATATTACTGTAGGTAGATGGATGGACCTGAGCAGTACCTCATATTCATTGGTTACTTATGCCAGGATAGAGGACGTTTAAGGGTCCCTTTTTGAATGTAATATTTTCAGGTATAAATCCTGGCGCGGACCTGCAAATGTTTATGCAGGCCTAGGCCTTACAAGGCTTTTTCAAGGCTTGCCTGAAAGCAGCATCAGAATACTAGGTCTGTCCTTACTTCATAAACGCACAACGCTTGTCCAACTGGTTCAACCGTTTAGATCGTGGTAAATTAATGTGGCCTACGTTTATAGCTTGTGATATGAATGAACCACTAAGAATGTCACATTTCAGGCAATATAGCATAGTTTTCCTGTAGACAAGTGATATATATTTTTCTCCATATATCTATCAAACTTTCACAGTACCTCTTTGATTTCTGTTTTCCAGGTTTGTTTCCTGACGTGGGCGGTGGTTACTTCCTCCCAAGACTTGGTGGCAATCTCGGAGTGTTCATGGCTCTCACAGGCTTCAGGCTGAAGGGCAGGCATGTACAGAAGGCGGGAGTGGCCACACACTTTGTCCAATCTAACAAGGTTTGTGTGACAAATATCAGGTTTTTATATGTCTGGCAAAATATCATGTCCTGTGTTGTAAGACTGTACTACCAGTCCGGATGTTGTAGGATCAGAGATTTCTACAGTTATATTCTTAATATGACTTATGGGGGGGGGGGGGGGGGGGGGGGTAATGATTTTTAGTGAGAATGATGGAAATAAAAAAGTGTTTCTTTTTAGCTCGCCTCTTCGCAATGTTGAATCGGTCACCACCATCAATACCTTGTTTTATTGCCATCATTTGTTCAAAGAAATGTTGGCATTATAAAGGGGTTTGGCGATAAATTGTGGGAAATGTATAAGGAATTATTAAGAAAAACATAATTAAGGGACCTGAAAATATGTTGGTGGTTAGTGAGGTGGCAAATGAAATGACAGGCATTATATCAAGGTTTTACTGTACATGTGTTCCTGTTGATATTTGCTATCTTACAACATATATCACCAATAGGAGAGCTATGCTGTTCTCCAAAATCTCTTGTTTAAAAGTAATTATCTAACAATTTCTATCAAAAGTAATGTAGAAAACTGAACTGGTATTGATGGCTTTCTTTGTTGCTTGTGCATTTCCCTTTTGCTATAAAAAGGAACATTGCTCTTTTTCAGATTTCAGAACTAGAGACAGCATTAGTTGGTCTCCCGAATCCTAGTCATCACGATATTACCTGTGTGATAGAGGACTTCCAGAGTAAGGTAGGCAGCTGCTTTCAGACCTTTGATAAAAAGGAGACTAGGGCTACATTCGCTTTTCCCGGTCGAAACGGTACGTGCGTCGCAGAGATATTCCATGATAAACGAACGCACTTGGACCGTTCTATATACAGAGATAAAAATGCACAGTTTCTGTTAATGAAAAAACAATATATCAAGAATAGTATGCCCTTCTTTCATGCGTCCACTGAATTACATAACGTATCTTAAAAACTACATGTGACTTGACATCGTGTTAGAAAGAAATAACACAAACTAGCAATAGTCAGCATTTTAGTTTCGGTCAGGTACGTCTGGACCCCTCAATCTATACGTGCCTAATTTACCTGAGGTCAACCTCGGTTCAGCTATATATATGTTGTTTTGACTGTTTTGTAGAGTACTGATGTCCCGGATGATGACTTCATTTTAAAACCAGATATGGACAATATTAATAGGCTGTTTAGTGCTAACACTTTAGAAGGAATATTCGAAGATTTGAAAAATGATGGTTCAGAATGGGCAACAAAACAACTACAGATACTACAGAAAATGGTAGGTTGTCTGTCTACACTAGAAACAAAAACTTAATCTTCAATAGAACACTTGTATTCACTATTACAATGGAAAAGATATTTGGATTTGCTATGAAGATGATACAAGTCTTTCATAAATGATAGATGTCATAATATGAAACTTGAAAATACCAACTATTGTTGTGGACTAGTATATGCTGTTAAGTGTATCTATAAATTTTAGAGCGTTGAAAGTGGGCTGTTAATTAAGACACCAAAACATATTGACAAGTACTAATTATCTCGGAACACAGAAGCTGTTGTCGTAGCATAATGCTATAAATGTCGTACATGCCCTAAGCTGTTGTCGTAGCGTAATGTTATAAATATCGTACAAGCCCTAAGCTGTTGCAAAACATGAAACCTCAGAAAAAAATGTAGTATTTTCTCATGCTATCAAATATTATGCTGAATCATTTTTATCACTAAGGCGATAAGACTTTAATAGATAGCAGGTTTACAGTTATGTCTACCTAACATTGTATGTTTTGTGGTTTCAATAACCTTTCACAATTTCCTTCCAGTCGCCTACATCAATGAAGATAACACTGAGACAAATTCTGGAGGGCCGGAACATGCCCCTTGGGGACTGTTTACAGATGGAGTACAGACTGAGTCAGAGATGTGTCGACGACAAGGATTTCTACGAGGGGGTCAGGGCAGGTATGACAGTACAAGTATACATATACTGTAACACTTTGGTTCCGTGATTTTGTCATAACATATTCTAGGGGTGCAGATAATATTAGAGAGTGTAACTTCCTTCAATTTTTATAGGATGACAGGGCTAATAAACACCATGCAATAATAAGTGTACTTACAGACCTCCACACTTTAAAGTTAATGTTTATGCAAATCTTACCATAAATGAGGACATTATAGCTGAGTTTTAATTTTCATGAGTTCAAACGCAGCATGTTTTTGTGTTGGTTTAATGTTAGCAAGCTTTTAGGATAATCATTGTGAAAAGCCAATGTTGCACATGGAGAAAAATAAGAAATTGTAAACAGTACATGGTATTGTTTTAATAACACTGTCCTAATATAATTAATTGTTTGTTTCCACAGTTCTTGTCGACAAAGATTTCAGCCCTAAATGGGACCCGGCTACCATCGAAGGAGTGACAAATGACAAAGTTGATTGGTACTTTTCTGAACTTCCACCAGAGAGGGAGCTTAAATTATGATAAAGCTTCAATCACAAGGACGATTTATGTATGAATGTGTACTTGACAGGGAAGTGCTATGAGAAATCTGAATAAAGGACGAGGCATGAAAAGCAATGGAGTTGGCCCCAATGATTTTAAAAAAAAAAGTTAGAATTATTTAGAGGGAAGGTTTAAGTGTACATTTTAAGATTAAAGTAGATATTAGTTTGATGCCATTTTGAAATGGAAAAAAATAAGAAAATCGAATTTGCATTTGAGGTTGATAATCGTAAATTCTGAATATAAGTGGGTTTGTGTTACATATACATTTCAATACCAGTAATGCCTTTCTAGTCCCTATTCATATATATATGAATATTTAGATGTAGCATAACTTACATTTTAAAATATATTTCATCCGAAATGTAAAATTTGTAAAAAAAATCACCATTTCTTAGATTTTGTCCTGATTTAGATGGTTTTATTTTTGTCATTTGGCATTATTTTTCTATTAGAAGTTGTTGATCGGCGATTCTCTGGCATAGGAATTTGGCTAAACTTTTTTTGTTAACGGTTACCTATTTAATAATACTTTTCACATAAACTCGCATAACAACACATTATGTATCTTTTATTAATGTTTGACATAAATAAATTTGTTGATCGTCATTTGTCTTAGAGTTCCGTGTACCAAGGGAAATAATCCAAGATGGCGATCTCCCAGAATCGTCGATCTTTTCATGAAAAAAAGTTGAAATGTTCTATACCTGTGTATTTTACGCACCCCCCACTTTGGGTATTAAATTTCTGGAAAAAAAGTGCACAAATTACATGGGTTTTTACGGTAAATGTAAAAATCAGTAAAACATTTGCTGCAAATTTCGTTTTAGAAATTATTGGGGCCAAAACCACGGCTTACCTACCTATTCCTTCGACAGATTTGGTGATAATGCATCTGGAATGTGATCTAGTTCCAGTTTATTTGGAAGAAAAACAACAAGGAATGGGTCATCTTCTAAAGGTCTTTTACATAACAAAATATGATATACAATCTTGGATGTGCTATCATTATTATGAATGACCACCAATTTGAATTTTGTAAATATTGTTTTGCCTTAAAACATAATAGTGTCAATTCGTAGGGAAAGACATCATATTATGGTCATTATTTGAATACAGAACGTGAAGAATTGACTTATATAGTCATACTTAGATAATGTAAAGTCAATGTAAGACTGATAGTGTTAAAATATGTTGTATGGATTTTTATGAGATTATCTATTATTACTTTAACCCTTTCACCACTGTAGAACATAATGGACTCATCCAGATCAAGGTGTGGTAGAGTTTACTTAAGTTACGGAGGGGTGAAAGGGTTAATCAGATATTAAAAACGATTACTGTATAGTGTTGATTTGGCAGTGGTATTTGTTGCACAAAAAATGTTTCACAAGGCGGAATCTGCACTTTTAAGACGGTTGAATATGTCTTGTTACTTAACTAGAACTGGTCTCTATCATGTTTATTTAGCGGTTTCTTTGCATAAATGTGAAAACTGCAATAACCTCAACAACGATCAACACCGCCACAAAAATGATCCCGTATGCAGTTTTTCACAGAGAGGTGAAAATATATGTACTTCAGTAACCATGTAACACACTGTAAAACTCCGTCAGAACTTATATGTCGTTGAGAGGCGTAACACTGTAAAACTCCGTCAGAACTTATGTGTCGTTGAGAGGCGTAACACACTGTAAAACTCCATCAGAACTTATGTGTCGTTGATCAGAGGCGTAACACACTGTAAAACTCCGTCAGAACTTATGTGTCGTTGAGAGGCTTTCTGATTACTTGGACTCAAGGTACATTCACATTTTAGAATTACAGAACAATGTATTTCCCAGAGACAACAGTGTTGTTCTTAAGAGCCTTTGTCGTCAAAAAGCAATAAAACTGTGGACATTAAATGTTATGATTTGGATTACATTTTATCAACAGTTCAATATCTCAAAATATTGAGATATTTATGAGAAAAGCTTTTTTCAGCATTTGGTGTACATTAAATGCATGTAAAATATTAGATTTTATATTTTTGAATTAAAATTTTCAATCTATATCAGTAAGGGTTATTGGTGTGATCTTTCAGTTGACATTGTCAAATTCAGATATCGTATGGCCAATCAGGAGGCGGAAAGCAAATGGAGTACCTAATCTAAATTGGAAAACACTTCTGTCTGTTTTTTAATTGACACTGCATTTCATATGGAGTGAATAGATGTAAGGTCGACACATATTTCAGGTTCACTGGGCTAATACGTGCTGGATTAGGTGAATGTAGTGGAAACTTGTATCTGATGATATTAATCAAAGGTAACTATTTCACAATGAAATATCTGAACTACAGAATAAATATAAATGTCTGCGATCTAGTTCATTTCATTTGGGATACTTATAAATGAGTTGTTGTTTTTAATTCAAAGAGCTGTAAATTTAAATAGGGAGTGGTTTTGGTTTATCATTTTTAGCCCATCATCATCAGATAAGAGGCTTATCCAATCTCCCTTCGTCAGTGGTCCACCCTTAAACAATTAATGTCAATATTTCTTAGAAGTACTTGAAAAACTTTCTCAGATTTCCTATGAAGGTTCCCCTTGGTCCTTAATTATGCCGTGTTGATTTTGACAGTTCAAGTTTGTTCCCGCTATTTCTCTTAGACGTACACGACAGATCTGTGAAAACATTCATATATAGGTTAGTACGAAAGTGTTTATACAAATTGATCTGGGATCGACAACTGACAATCAAATTCAGAATGGATATATTGCTTTGATTATTGATTTAATTCAGTAAACCCCATATATGACTTGAATATGAACGTATTTACCTTCTAGATTCATCAATAATTAAAAAAAAAAAAAAAAAAAACACAGGAAGGGGCAAACATTTATATCTTATTTTGCTAATTTAACTTAAGCAAATAGAATTGTTCGCTAAATGTTTTTTTGTGAAGTGTCAGAGCAGACATTTTTATCTAGCTTTTCTTTTCGCCATGAGTTGATCGTAATATCATTGTGACATGCATTTGCGTTAGTAAATTTGCTAACGAATCAATATAAGATTTATATACCTCGCAGGGTTCTCCCCAGAATTTTTTTAAGCTGATATGTTTCATTTGCAACGAACATTCAAGACGGACACGCTAATATAATACCTTATCAAACCTCTTTTGGTGAACATTAAAACCAAGGAAATAAATAAGTGTTTCTTATGTCTGAATTTTCAGCAATATTATTGTTTTAAATATTCTAAAAAAAATACAATTGATAGAAAGGTGTATGAGTTTTGTACATTGAATAATAGATATGACATTTGTGACATTTGTCTCTTATCTTTACATTTGTATCCCTTACTTAATCCCCATTAAAAATAATTTAAAGAAGACATATTTAAAAGCTGTTTGTGCTTTAGGGGGAAACACTTACATGAAAAAGTTTATATCATAGTTCTTATTATTGTAAGAGAAAATGGTTTAATAAAATGTACAGTGTTTTTATTTCCTCCAAAACTGTATTAAATACTGCTGTCAGTTAATGTGATCAAAGATTAAAACAGCATTTTTATTTGAGCTCTTCTTCATTAAAAACGACAAATCCGGATTTTCATTCCCCTTTCCGGTTTGTACTTTACACAATCCAAGATGGCGACCATCACTAACTGAATACACACGCTATTTCAGCGTTGTCAAATGCAATCATATGGGAGTAAATTAATTTATAATAGATGTAATAAGTGTTTGTTTTGTTAATCCAACAGTAGGTACCTCAATTAATCACCTATTGACCATGTTAAAAGGATCCGGTGATAATTGCTTTAGGCTCCAGTGAGCACGCTTATTGCCGGACACCTGTGGGCTTGTCGTCCGGTCCCCCTCCCCACTAATTACAGGCCCCCTGTGGCAATACGCCTATCGTGCAACTGACCAGTGGGGTCATTGCTGGACTTTGGTCAGCCGTGTCATTTAATCAGTGTCAATTTCTTGTGTAAAAAGACCACCTTCAGTACAAATAACAAGGTGATACGGTTCACAGTTTAAGGTGATACGGGTCAATTAAGCTGATACGGCAGGGAGGATTTCAAAATGAAGTTGATACGGAGCCGTATCAGCTAAATGGCCTGGGGAGAACCCTGCCTCGATCGATGTTTAAATGGAATATTCAATGTCTTAAATATCTATTCCTGGTATAAACATGAGCACGGACTTGGATAGAATAAACTTCCTTAGAACAATGTATAGAGGTAATTAAATTAACATGGTTGCAAAAGGGCAACCCAGTTTCAGCCTGATGATTCTCTGCCAGTATTGTTTTATCCTTTCGCCAATGTTTACACTGAAATAAAACAAAACCTTTAGTAGTTGACAGAAGAAGGCAGAGTATATAATAAGGAAAAGTTTACATGATTGTATATGTCCGAGACCTGTGGTTGAATATGTGAACGGTCTTGTGGGTATCGACGTCATTGTGGGATTGTTTGCCGAATGTGATCTCCTTTCATCCATGTCCACCATTTCTAGGTATCCTATCTTACTGACTACCTCCATATCATGTTCACCGTTAATAAAATGATCACGGGAACTTACATTTTTGTTTGTTTTGTTATCAATTTTTACATGCAAATATGTAGTATATTTGTTTTCAACACGAGGCACGTTATACTTAAACGTTATGTAACCACAATATTTTCCACTAACTGCAATATTACTGTAAGCAATATAACCCACATTATAACCACGTGCACAGTATAATCAACCTAACAGCTGCTTGACCACCGTATAATATAACCTCTACTAGCCACGGTATAACCACCAGGTACCGCGGTAAGACCATCATTCTAACCAAATGTTTAGTTCATTTATATTCAAAATACATTGTCTAGATACACAGCTGTTGTATACCTCCAATTCACGGCAAATACCTGTCTTAATATCTGATTTCAACGTCAAATAACGTGCCTGATATTAGTCCTACAGGTGATGAGTAGTCAGTAGCATATGTTTTAAAGTATCGTGTCTTGAATCTCTCAAATATTTAATATGATAGGCTACTTCAGAGAATGATGTAGAAACGTGTGAAGAGTACGTTTAACAAAAGTGATGTAAATATTCATTCATTACTCCACATGTACTCTGTCATCTCATAATACGTCACAGAATTCGAAGCATTCGCTATTGTTTAGATATGTAGATAACAGTATCGTTTCCTTGCAAGATTTTGATAGAAAATCTATAACAAATCATGTACAGTCAACTTACCCAGACACAAAAATAAAACCACACTAAGTATTTAATCGTTTTGTAAGCAACACAAATGGATTCAACAGATGTCGATGCTTTACAAAAGCCAGCGCAAAAACCAGCTCTAAGAAGGAGCAATGGAGCAGAAACATTGCCCTGACTGACCTTCTGCCATGCCAAGTACGAAATACAGCTTTGGCTCTTTTTACAGAAAGGAACATAAAGATCCGAAACACTTCATTTTAGTGTTTTCTACTACCTGTAAATGTTTAAACCATGTTGTTAGATTATTCATATAGAACGTAAAATATTTTTAAACATTTTGATATTTTATTCTTTAGTTTATGAACATTACAGTAATATCAGTCCCTCATACCTTAATACTTCCGAACAGTCCTGCAGCATTACCAACAATAGCCATGTCAACATAAGCTCGTGCTGACTTTGTCATCATAATATTTGCAATAAAATAAATATTGAAAATAAAATCAAAGTTAGATTTAATATTTTGTTTTCTTATTGGAATGGCAGCATGTTACCAGGTGATACTGATATCGTCCACGTGTTATTACGTCATGCTGATGACGTGGACACTATACTACTTTTACCAATCCTTCCACCACCCGCTACCATGGAGCACGTGTGACAACGAATGGAACACGCCTTATTTCTTCAGTGACGTCAGCGATGACAGCCGGAAAATTTATACAAAATAACGTCTGATTTATTCAAAATAACGTCTGATTTATACAATATGACGTCTGATTTGTACAATATGACTTCTGATTTGTACAATATGACATTTGATCTATACAACATAATGTCTGATTGTACAATATGACGTCTCATTTATGCAACAGGACCTCTGATTTGTACAATATGACGTCTAATTCACACAACAGGACCTCTGATTTGTACAATATGACGTCTAATTTATACAACAGGGCCTCTGATTTGTACAATATGACGTCTAATTTATACAACAGGGCCTCTGATTTGTACAATATGACGTCAGTTATCAACATAATGAATTCTACATCGAATACTTTACACACTGTACTAATTGATTTGAATTAAACAAGTACAAGTACTCAACAGTTTTAAAATTAATTAATTAGGGGATGTTATGCCGATGTGTCGAAGTATGTAACTCACTGACTTGGAAACAGGCAACGACTCGCCCAGAAAATAATGTGAATCTTCCTCGTACTGGATTGGTGGAGAGAACGATCAAAAGACAATAGCACTGTCGAAGGTGAGCTTTTCGCAAATAGCTGTTTCTAATGGAAGGAACATATCTAAATTGACAAAATGAATTTACATTTTAGTTCCATTATTGCATAAAATCTTAGTAATATTGCTTCAGATATTTTTTTCTATAATGACGTTATATAAATGTTTCTCAAAATATTGATGAAAAAGATAAGATATAGACAGATAGATGTTTTAGATAATCTTTTGAAATTACATTTCAGGCACGTGCTACAGGTACAATATTTGTAAGTAGTGTTTAAATGTAAAACCGGGGAAACTAAACAAAACTAAGATCCGTCTGTTATTTGACACATTTATTTAAGAAGAAGCTGATTTTGCAGTAATCAATATCCATAGAGTTGAAAATGGTTTTGTTTATACTCGCTTGATAACACCAGCCAGCTGACTCGGGTCACTTAAAGATTTACACAATTATAGGTTAGTAGGTAAATACTGTATAACACGTTGGCAAATTTGTATTTTATAAAAACAAAATAATAATAGTTACATGTAAGATATTGACTGGAACATAATTTATTTAGGCAGTATTTGAAAAGCATATTAATAAATGACATTGATGCAAAACCGAATTTATGAGATGTAATAGTGTACATGTATTGAAAGTATATGCAGCATCTGTTTCTAATGTAATGACAATAAAGCGTATGTCAATGATAGCTGTTTAAATCTTGTTCTCCATTTTCTACCCATGGCGTATTTTGCAGCGCATTTTCAGACCGCTTTTGGAATTCATAGAGCACTTCAGACTGAATGCTAGACTAGTTTGGATTGGTTAACAAAACGGTTTTAACAAAATGCGATTTGGGTTTTAGATACGAAAAAACGATAGATATATGTCTTAGAATCTTTATGTAATAAAATAATCTGTTTTCTGATTTTTTCAAGGTATTCGACCGAGGGAGAGAGGGTTTTACCATACACTTCCTATGAAATCCATCAGTATTAATGCGCAATAAAGGCAACAGGAACCCACCTCAAAGAAGGAACAATGGGACTGGAAAGTGGAGTACCTCCTATCAGTTGTTGGGTATCTCGTGGAATTCTCGAATATTTGGAGGTTTCCGTACATATGTATTAGAAATGGCGGAGGCAAGTTTTGTTGACGGGTACACACATACGGAACAAACAAAAAAAGAATTCTCTTGAAATTTGTATGATTCATCTTTAGAATGTTTGTTTTAGTGTATCCTTAGTTCCTGTTGTTGTCACTTTATTAGGGCCCCGTATCTCCGATACTGGTTGCCTGTAATAATCACTTTGTCTGTCCGTCCGTCCGTCCGTCCGTTAGTCCGTCCACAAATTTTGTTCCTGGCTGATAACTTTGGTATTTATTGACCAATTTACATGAAACTTGGTCAAGATGTTCAGTTCACAGAAATACACACTTAGGTAAAAAGTCAAGGTCAAAGGTCAAGGCCATTAGGTTCAATGGTTCAGGTCAAATTTTGCATCTTTTCAATGATGAACATTTTGTTATGACATCAGAATTACACAAGGAGTTAACTGACTAAAGGTCAAGGTCATCGGGTCAGAGGTCAAGGTCACATAACAAGGTCAAATTTTGAAGCTTTTCACTAATGAGTCTTTTATGATATTATGAAGCAAAGTTGGTCGGATTTAAACAAAGAGTCAACTGACCAAAGGTCAAGGTCACTGAGTCAATTTCAAGGTCAAATATTGTATCTTTTTACTGATGAACTTTTTTTATGTTATTATGAAGCAAAGTTGTTAAGAACTTAACAGGGAGTCAACTGACCTAAGGTCCAGGTTACGGGGTCCAAAGGTTCAAGGTCAAGGTCAAGTTTTGTATTTTTTACTAATGAACATTTTGTTATGATATTTTGAAGCAAAGTTGGTCGGAAATAAAGAATAAGTCAACTGACCAAAGATCAGGGTCACTGGGTTAAAGGTCAATGTCATTTGGGTCCAAAGGTCAAAGACAAAATGGATCTCTGACTTTGACCCTTGCTCTTAATGGAGGAGGTATTTAAGGTGAAATGAAACAAATCAAAGCTAACAAATGAGCATTGCACCAGTATTTACATTTCTGTTAGCCCAGCAAATATGGAGGTGGAAGGAAACAAGACTCGCATCATAGTACATGTAAAATGTATATTTTGCTTCCTTGCGATTCTTTTTAAGTCCAAATGTGAAACGTCAAGGCTCCGCTATATGGACAAATTGCTTCTTGATGATGATGGGGGATATATTACCACAAGACGGGGCCCTTACTGACCGGTCAGTGTTCTAGTTTGTCTTGATGATGATGGGGGATATATTACCACAAGACGGGGCCCTTACTGACCTGTCAGTGTTCTAGTTTGTCTTGATGAGGATGGGGGATATATTACCACAAGAAGGGTCCTTACTGACCTGTCAGTGTTCTAGTGTGTCTTGGTGTTCCAGTTGTTTTCTTTTGTTTTCATGTCTCCTGTCCTTTTGTTATCCTTCCTTTTGTTTTGGTGTCTCCTAAGTTCCAGTTGTTGTCTTCCTTTTTTTGGTGTCTCATCAGTTTAATTGTTGTCTTCTTTTTTTGCATTTCCTCAGTTCCTTAAATTGTCTTTTTTATGTCTCATCAGTCCTTTGTATAGTCTTTGTTTGTTTTTTATCAGTTCCTGTTGTTTTATTGTCTATTAAAGTCCTTTCCGTTTGTCTCGGTGTCTTATTTGTTGCCTTTTGTTTCGGATTTTTCTCAGTTCCTGTTTCTGCCTTTCCTTTGTTTTTTTACTCTTGAATCCTATTTGTAAGTGGCGTATTTCATATTTTGACCTTACTTTCATTTCACAGTGGGATCTCAATACGTCCGAAACTCATTAACCTGGCGTTTAATTTATATTACAGTTATAGTAAATTATCATGAAGGTGAATAATTAAAAAATATTTTTATTGAACAACCGATGGTCACGATTTAAATGCTAAGTCACTAAAATGTTACATCAGGAACACTCGGATACATATCATTTCATAGGCTGTAATTGTCTTACAATGCAGTAGTAAAGATTTGACATCGTAAACATTGAAAGAATATTATGATAGCTATTGAGTTTGTATCACAATTAAAATGTAACAAATCTTTACTAGTTACAACTATCTTATCCTCCCACTTGCAACACCTTGAATCTAAGTAAGTTATTACATCACTTACCACTTCCCTACTCTTTCTGACCGGCGTTGTCCCTCTATTGACCGTATTATTAAAATGCCAATGTCAGATTAAAAAAAAAGTGATAAATAGTCAGTAGCATACTTCTGTTTAAAGTATCGCGCCCTGAATCTATTAAAGGACAATGATAAAAGGGTTTAAGAGGTGAATGAGATGGAAAGGTGTGTACTTTACTCTGCATTATTTATTATGACTCACTCACTCACTCATGTTTGTACATAAAAAATGTATGTAATGCGGATCATTCACGAAGGATTTAAAGGTAGATGATAGCATTGGTTTTTTTTTATAATATTATGCAGTAAAACATGTAACTAGTTCATGTACAGTCCATTGGCCCAGTCACAAAAATACAACTTTACCAAGTATTTGATCGTTGGAGGGTTTCATTATCAACATCAAATGGATACATTCGATGTCGATGCTTTACAAAAGGCAACACAAAGGGAAACCAGCGTTAAGAAGGAGCAATGGGGTAGGAAACTGGAGTACGTCCTATCGGTTCTTGGGTATCTGGTAGGATTCATGAACATTTGGAGGTTTCCGTATGTTTGTATGAGAAACGGCGGAGGTAAGTTACATACGGGTACACACATGTGAAGCGGACAATGTGATTCACAACTCCACGTGAAGATCAAATGTTGATGCATGCTGTCTTATGTTCTAGTTATCTAGTGATCTTCTCCTGCCTTTGAGATGTTCACATAGGCGTAACATGGGATACATTTGATTCTTTTTGAACAGTTATCTCGAATATTTCCTTTTCATTTAGTTTATGTATATTATATTACAGCAAAGTAAATGCTAAATATACAGGATTAATCAATATGAAATGGTTTTGATTGAACGACAGAGGGGCACGTTTAGAACGAGATGTCACTGATATATAATATAAACACTTTCCTTGACTTTTTGTCGTATAATACACGTAACAAAGTTGACCACTGAATTCGTGCTCATATCGTTAATCTCTAAACTTCAGACACAGAGAAATAGTATGATGCTCTGAGAGGTGTCATGCATTAGAGCCCATACGGAGGGAAAAGGAATACTTTCCCCATTATATAAAGCATGTTCAAGATGGTATATCTTATAGTTAATGATATAATTTTTGCTTCATTCCAGGTGCTTTCTTGATACCGTATATCGTTATTTTGCTATTGATGGGCATTCCCTTGTATTTCCTGGAGGCATCTCTCGGACAGTTTACTGGGAAATCATTTAAAGAGGTTTGGAGTTATTGTCCAATTATTCAAGGTATTATTATTATTACAAGCTAACCGAAAAATAATATAAAGAATATTCTCCATGTCTGCAGCAGCAACCAAATGCATATATCAATATAATAATGACATTACATGTATTGAAAATAGGCAGACTAATTCATGTCTTCCATTGTAAATTATATTGTCATCAAATATATATACCAAGTGCATTGAAATTGTATAGAATTGTCAGGAAAAGGGTGTATAAATTATAACGTGCTATATGTGCTGGCTGGGGAATAGAGGAAATGTTAAGGGGAGATAAAAATCTAGATCTAGATCGCCAAAATGTATTTGTTTAAGTTAAAGTTAACAGCCAAATAAAATGAGCCAATATTCTCATTGCTATGAAGGATTCTTCATTTACGGTACCTATTTTAGTACCATATTGAGATCTTAAATTTCCATACAGTATACATCTTCACACCTGCTTAAGTAATTTGTATGTGCTTGAAATTTAAAACAACCAGCCACAGAAAAAGGGTATTAAAAACCTTTGTGGCAACTTTCTTATTATAACATATTGTAGATGCAAAATAGATACAATCGATATTTATAAGGGAGGAATAAATATAGAGGATCTAGCACGAGTGTTCATGTTATATTGAATTTATTGAACGAGTATATTAATTTCATATGAAACGAGCCTTTGGCGAGTTTCATATGAAATTAATATACGAGTTCAATAAATTCAATATAACATGAACACGAGTGTTAGATTCTATTTATTATATAATTCGAGAAACCTACCTACATAAGTGGTTTCAATACTAACGTCTCTATATGCAATGACGACGAGAAAGGACGCATCACATATACTAATTTGAGAGCATGTTCCGCTAACAAAAGTAGTCCGCAGAATTTTATCAGAATAATAAATGGCCAACAGTTTTACTTTTAACGATCATTTTAATTGTGATAACAATTGAAATAATAAAAGTTTACAAAATATGACTTCTTTTTTTTCGCTTCGGAAAAAAACTGTTTTTTTTCATCGGTGACGTCATGAACAGTGTAAGAGCGCGCGCACTGTGAAGGTCGTCGGAAACCGAAAACACATGTGTTGGATATTAGGCCTACTGAGAATCACTGTCACTTTCTATAACACGGGCGCGTTTTTTCAGAGGAGGTCCTTGGTAAACATGAACTTGTATGTTTCCTCCTGTGACAGCACCTGAAAAGATACTTTGGAAACCGCCCTGGACCCTGACAACAGAGGAAGTTGACTGGTTACACGCCATTGATTGTTGTGTCAGTGATGTTGTGTTGCATCCGGTCTCAGGTGCTGTTGGATTTCCGTGCAGTATTTTGGAGATTTCTTTGTGTTGATTCGTGTTGATGTGTGAATAATTATTAATAGAAGAAATGTTTCGGTGACCAGAAATTTGCATTATATGGTTAGCGGGGATGTTATTATCGTTCAATTTCTGGACAAGATATTTCCTCGCACTGTGATTTGACAAGTGTTTGTCAGTTTGGATTCCTGCTCCCTTTATGGCACGTTGCATCATGGATTTTAGCTTGTTGATACCAAGGGGTTGGCGCTTGAACCAAGTCTCATGACTCATTACAATAAGTTTATATAATAATAATAGCGACTAAACAACGACTGTTCTGAGTACATCTTGACTAAATTAGATGAACAGACCACATGGGCGTAGGAATACGACCTAGTTCCCACGGTGTCGCGCGCTCATTTGCATCTTTATTGCACACGTTCAATATCAATTTTATTGCACCCCTTTATTGCACTGCAGAAGCCTTATATTATATAATAAAACAATGTATGGATATTTTCAAATGAACTTTAACTGTCATTGTACAATACCTATACCAGAAAACTTTTGATATTACATATAAGATATATATCAATTGTAAATCATAAAGTTGTGTCTTGTTGTGACAGGTAAAGATAAAGCTATTTTAGATAGGAATAAATCGCTACGTAAAGATTTTATAAAAATGAATTTAACTGTCATTGTACAATACCAGAAAGCTTACAATGAAATGAACAAAATTTAAAAATAAATCCGCTTTTCCAAGTGTTAAATTCTGTAGGGCTAGTATAAACTTCATTGGTTTGATCACAACGGTTGTGATAGTAGGTCGAGCTTATGTCATGGACATACCTATATCTTTTGCTGTAATTTTGGATATGAAATGTCCTTTTCTCTTGTTTTTGTGAGCTGACGTGTGACGGTCCGGAATCCTCTCTCTGACCTCTATTTACATACAATTATCTGCTGTCTTTCAGCATCGCTACACCACGTTGTTTACCTAAGTGACATGTGTTCATTTTATAAGTCAGATAACAGTAATTAAACCTGTTAAAAAATCATGAAATGCACTTTCCTAATTCTCATAGGTATGGATTCAGATGAAACCCTCAGTGGGAATAAAAGAACTAAACTTTACCAGAAATCAAAGGGTGTTTATAATATATATAAACGAGTACGGCTGTGACCATCCCTGATCAGCAATGGCGTGAGATAAGCCTTTGAGGGCGATACGGATTTTTTGTCAAATTCAGGAACGATGGAAATATGCTTTTGAATTACCTTACCGTTAAAGAACCGTAATTTATCAAAGTTTTGATAAAGTGACCGTTGTATGAAATCACAAAAATCTCGAATGAGCAGAATAGGATTGCGTAATGGACGCAATGACAAGGAAGAATATGCAATTCTTATCTATTTCCTTGCTATGCATCAATACAGTTTTGGCGTTTTACAGAAAGAAAATATGCATATATATAAGAAACAGTTCAATTTTGATAGGATATTTCTATATTCAGTTATATTTAAATATTTAAACCATATCATTAGAATGTTCATATTGATCATAAAGAAGTTTTCATTTTGATATTCTGTTCTTGAGTTTATGAATATTACAGCACGATCAATACCAAAGACATTAATACTTCTGAACATTCCTGCAGCATTACCACCACTTACCATGGCAACCTAAACTCGTGCTGATTGGTTTATTTTAGTGATTGTAATTATCGATGTAGTAAAACAAATTTCACCTTAATTATGTATCGTTTTCTTACACAGGAATGGCAGCATGTTACCAAGTATTACTGATACCGTCCACGTGTTTTTACGCCATGCTGATGACGTGGACACTATACTACTTTTACCAATCCTTCCACTACCCGCTACCATGGAGCACGTGTGGCAATGAATGGAACACGCCTTATTGCTTCAGTGGTGGTAATAATGAGATGCCAGGACACTTGATGGCAAACTCGTCTAGTTTATACAATATGACGTCATTTATGAACACTAGCATAATGTCTTCATCGAATGCTTCACAGGGTCAAAGTGCAGAAGAAGAATACTGGAAGTGAGTAGGAAAATAGAAAACATATCTAATCTAATAAATCAATGTGTGCAAAACTCTCACAATCCTTAATCACGACGGGTAAGTCACACGTGCTGATAACTTGGTAAATCATTCTCATAAAATCTCCATTGTTGAGAGAGGACTTAAGGGGATGGGGAAAGGGGTCTAAACATTCTTATTTTGTACAGAACACGTCAGTAGTGACATTTTATTTAAATTTTTACACAAATTTATACAACAATTATCAATGAATTAAAGATGGGAAAACAAAATGGTTGACCATAACAGCGGGTTTATGTCACATTTGATTTGCCGCTTCATAGCCTGATCTAAATTTGGGAATTTAATGGGTAATTGTGCACATCTAGAACATTTAATGTATTCAAGATCAAATTTTCACACGTCACCTATTGATAATATTTTGTTTAACGTCAAAGTTGACCTACTTGTTCTATTCTAGTTACAATGTGCTAGACATTTCCTCGGGACTGGTGGACATCGGCTCACTGAAGGGAAACACGGTTTTGTGTTTGTCATTGTCCTGGTTGTTCATATACCTATGTGTCATCAAAGGTATCAGGACATCAGGAAAGGTAATGTACTGTCTCATCTATTAATTCGTTAAGGAAAATGAAGAGTATACTGAATACACACTATAAGGTCAAATAGAATAATATTCACGAAAAGGTAGTTAAGGAAACGTTTTCTTTGCTTGTTGATGGAAATTGAAATATATATAAACAAACATAAAAAGTAAAATTACTAAAGAATAAAAATAACTAAATAAAATAAAATACAAAATGACAAAATGTATGGTGGAAAATATAATAAAACTGATTTTGGCCAATTTAAACACTCACTTATTACTCCCTTGACGTTCTTACTGGATGTAAAACCACTATAAACATATTTATACATTGTCTGTAACAGGTAGTGTATGTGACCGCCACACTTCCGTACCTACTTCTCACCATCCTCCTCGTCCACAACCTCACGTTACCGGGATCACTGGATGGAATTGTATTTTTCATAAAACCTAACTTTAAGTCGTTGATGAATATCCAGGTAAGCTGGTGTTGAGTTTTCAAATACCAAGGTAAACCACATATAACAATATTTCATATTCCTATTTTAAGAGCACGAGGAGGTCCGATGATATTCAAATTATTTTTAAGACATTAGTTAACTCTTGTCAAACAAGTCAATGTTACCAGTGATACAATGACAAAGCACGGGTGTCAAACAGGAGCAGGGATGTCAAAAAACAGTGGCGTCAGGAGACGACCACATAAGTGGGGGCTGGGTTAAAATTGATTGATTAAGAAGGAAATATATGATTTATAAACATATAAATAAGTTATTATTGTGGTGAAGATTCAATATTATTGGGCAATACAAAATCCCATATATAGAAAAACGGGGATAGCACGACATGTTTAGGACATTTGTTATAAAAACTCTGATGTCAATACCGGGTATGCTGTCAATTTAACTGGTATGTCATATATAGACGTTGCGCACCTCTTTCAAGCTTTTTTAACGCGTGTTTTTATTTATTTTTCCAGGTTTGGTTAGAAGCGGCCATACAAGTGTTCTATTCTTTGGGAATAGGTTGGGGAGGGATACTGATCACACTATCAAGTTACAACAAATTTAACAATAACTGTCTCAGGTAAAAACAAGACACACACAATATAATAAAAGATGTACAATAATCAATCTGATAAAATATTGGTGTTGCATAGGTAATGTAAATATATCAACACTGAACTATAACAAAAGAAAACAGTATATAAATCGACCCGACGCAATGTAACTAGGGATAACTAATGAAAACGTATATTACTTTTCTTTGAAATGGAAATCGTTATTCATCAAAACTTGAACATACAAGTACATATTCGGAAATCAAACCCCATCTAAAAATAACGACACGACTCGAGAAGACATGAAGATGTCACGAATCCTAAAAAAAGAACAATTACACAACAATTCTTAGATTCTATTTCTAGCATCAACACCGTAAGTATCCTTTGCCTTCTTTGTACCTCATTTCTGTGACTGTCAAACGCATCCTATCAAGATGTACAATTGTAATCTTACACATTGCTGTTTTTTCACATTCAGAGATTCCTTTCTCTTGGCTATTGCCGGTGAGAGTACAAGTGTGTTTGGTGGATTTGTTATATTTTCTGCTCTCGGGTTCATGGCTCATAAGGCGAATGTACCTGTCGCTGAGGTCGTCAAGTCCGGTTAGTGTGACACGTTTATTTAAATTTCCGTTTCACATAACTTTACTATTTGCATTAAGTAAAATAATGCTGCCCAAACCGGATCAATATTATTTAATCTGATGTTAAATTTGTATCAAGCCAAAATTCTCATATACATACATAACGATTATTTCAATATTTCAGACTGTAAACAAACTTTTTAACCGATTTTCTCAATTCGTAATATCCTTCGTTGGTAACGTTCATAAAGTCGTCAAAGCAAACACAATGACATTAAAAATAATTTTAGTTTAGACGGCGTCAACAAAATTTCAGTACGAGGGATTTAGATTCGTTTTTGTTTCTAGTCTTTACTGGAAAACCATTTTATATTCAAGTTAAGACAAAGTTCCTTAATTTGTTTTTCCATATCGACTCGACGATTGAAATAAATGATAAATGGTTGTGAAAATTGGTTGGATATTTAATTTGCAATCTGACATGATAAGAAACAATTTTAAGTTGAATAGCCATACATAATGAGTTATAAAATAATATTCTAACCGATTTATTTCTTTTCATTGTTTTACATTGTAGAGAAATAATGATTTATACAAATGACGTCAATTGGATCATGTTAAGATTAGCTTTTACCTTTCCTGAATACAATTTAAGATTTAGAATTACAATGTTACGTTTGTGTACCTCGGTAGGTCCAGGTTTAGGATTCGTGGCCTACCCTATGGCTGTTTCACAGATGCCCCTCCCCAACCTCTGGGCAGTCCTTTTCTTCTTTGCCATGATTACTTTGGGTTTGGATAGTCTGGTAAGGTTTAACTTGTAGCAATATGCTTGATTTTGTAAAAATGAAAAGCGTTTTAAGAAATGTTTGTTCTAATGCTAATCTATTTTGTTAAATTATAATATGATCTGTTTGTTACTTCCACCCGCTTATTTGTGACAATATCATAAATATATCCACCTATTTTAAAATGACTTTGTCGATCTCTTACTATTGTAGTTCACACTTGTAGAAGTAACATATGCGTATTTGGAAGGCTGTTTCCCGTTCCTTGGGAAAAGACAAATAATCTCAAGGGCATGTTTATCATGCCTCGGCATGTTGTTTGGGCTACCATTCTGTACACAGGTAAGACTCTTTAACATGTATTTGGTAATTTAATTTGGTTGTTTGTTTTGACTGATGAATAGAAATAAGAAACGAAAAATATGCAAATAAACTGTGTAACAGATATCTTAGGACACATAAAGCAATGTTTGTATCAATATAATGATACAATTCCACGACAGGTTACAAAGGCCAGGCATACATACTTTATATATGACACAAGATACTCGAATATTGTTATATAAGCATAAACCAAATAAGTCACTAAGGAGTAAAAACAAAAGTTAAAAGTTGTTTTTTTTTTTTTTTTTTTTTTTAAAGGAAAAAAAAAAAATTAAAAATTTTTTTTTTTTTTTTTTTTTTTTTTTAAAGGAAAAGAATGATAGAAAAAGATAGCACATATATGAATGAAAATATAAAAAAAACAATTTTTCTACATAATTAAATTTTGAAAATAAAAACACGAGTCTGTGAAATGACAGATATATTACTTACCTTTTCAGGGCGGAATCTACCTCTACCAGCTGATGGACTGGTATTGTGCTGCCTTAGCTCCGATTTTCTTTACAGTCGTGGAATGTATATCAATATCCTGGCTGTATGGTACGTACAGGAACCAATCAGATATGATATTTACAATTTTTTTTGTCATGTATTGACATATAACTTGACGAAATTCCATTTTATATGTAAATAAAGTATTAAGTTTTTAAGCATCTTTCTGAAGTGGTTCAAGGTCCGTGTTTCAAGAATATTTCCTAACTTGCGGTTTTCTTAACTTGAGTATTTTTTTTCAGCCTAGTAAGCTTGTTTTAATTAATCGTTGATCTAACTTAAACATTCGGAAGCTTATATTTTATTCGTTGAAACTTGATGTTGGGTGTCCTGGTTTTTATGAACATTGGTTTAGACACTTTAGGTGTTGATGATCTCTTCATCTTCATATTTCTATCATCAGGTGCTGAGCGCTTCTCGAGGGACGTGGAGATGATGATAGGGAGGAGAATACCTTTATACATCAGATTGTTTTGGTGTTTCTTTTCGCCTCTGATCTTGTGTGTATGTCATTTTTTTGGCAAATTTGTTTTTTTGGTCGGCTGACATCTAATTGTTAAATATTGCACACTGCACAAACGAACTTAACATCAAATGTAATGATATTTGAAGCCTATAAAAGAGAAGTGTTAATAATGAAAATCGCAATAAAATCAACAGATTTTAGTCATTTTCAACAAAGAAATCTTGTTTAAAATGTAACTTTAATTTTTAGTTCTTATTTGAGTATCCTTTCCTTGATTTGTGTTTTAATTATAAAATTACATTTAGGAGAATATAATTAGAGGCAAGATACTTGCATGATTGAATTATAAACGTTTTACCTGACATGAATTCAGTTATTGAGTATACCACTTTGTTGACTATCGTTTTAAAGATATATCTTGTGATAAAATGACAAAGTTCATTTAATGAGAATGTTTATAATTATATTATTTTTATACGCCCGTCGAAGACGGGGACGTATTATGTTATCACGTGAGCGGGCGGGCGGGCGAACGATGTCCGCTCGATATCTCAAGTAATTATTAACGGATTAACCTCAAACTTCACAACAAGGTTAATTACCATGAAAGCTCAGACAAGTTCGATAACCGCCATTATCCGACCATAATTTTTGAGTTATGCCCCTTTATGGACTTGCCGAAACAGTGTCCGCTCGATATCTCGAGTAATTATTAACGGATTAACTTCAAATTTCACAACAAGGTTAATTACCATGAAACCTCGTACAAGTTCGATAACCGCCATTATCCGACCATAATTTGTGGAGTTATGCTCCTTTATGGACTTGCCGAAACAGTGTCCGCTCGATATCTCAAGTAATTATTAACGGATTAACTTCAAACTTCACAACAAGGTTAATTACAGTAGAAGCTTGGACAAGTTTGATAACCATTATTATCCGACCGTAATTATTGGAGTTTTTCCCCTTGGTTTCATTAATGCGATGCATGCGTTCCATGATGTTGTATTGCACTCATTGATCTACCAGTTATGTTGAATTATTTCTCTTTTAATATCAATTACTCACAAATACTTCATATATTTCAATCATACAAACAACTGCTCATTCAATGTGTGACGGGCGTATTATATACCGCTCGCGGTAACCTTGTTATTAATGCTGTCATCCAACAACCCGTCTTTTATTTTCTTCTTCCTAATAGAACCTAAGTTTTACTCAAATGTTTTCAATAAATGGAATATGTGTATACAAGGGGAGGTTATTGCAATACCTGCTTTGTGAATTAAGACTATTAATTGAAACTCGGAAACACCTGACTTTGTTGTATTCATATACATATATAGTAATGAACAATATGTGTGCTACTTGGTATCTTAACAGAGGAACAATACTATATACGAAGAGCACATGGAAACTTTAGATAATCTGCTCCAAAGTAACTGTATTTAATGCAAATTATGGAATATTGTTGTAAAAATACCTGTTGCCGACAATCTTTAAATTCTAAACAGAACCATTGGTTTCCGTAAAATTATCCTTTACTCTAAATAATTATGTTAATTTCAAATAATCTTGAATATAAAAGCATATATGTATCGTACGAATATCTACATACTGTACGAGAAACGAGTGAGCATTATAAATATTCTTCAGTAAAACTTTAGGCGTAAGAGAAAGAGAGTCAAACCGGTAGAGAACACACTCGAGTCCAAAATGTTTCTGTACAAATGGGGTATCTTAGCAAAGTTCAATTAATAACGAAATCACAAATATGGTGAGTATTTAAAGTGGTATCTTAACACAGGTGGTCCCCTTATAGAGGTGGTCAAATGCGCAGGTTTGACTGTACATATAATTTGTTTTACCATCCGTTTGGTGGGAAAATCCAGGTGACATATTCAAAGTTTTTCAATCACAACTTTGTAGACTTAATTTTAATTTCCCTCCTACTGTTTTAATGACTATATAAGTTTAATAACCATGACATGCATAGTTCATCCATTAGCTGTCTAAGAAAGACTATCTCCTCCCTCTCCTAGGGTATAGCATCAGGACAAAGCGTTATGTTTTTCTAGGTTTCCACTAAAACAAAAAAGTTAATAAAACAATGCGCCTACGAGTAAATGGAAACTGACATTATTTTTTATAAAACAATGCGCCAACGAGTAAATGGAAACTGACATTATTTTTTATAAATCAATGCGCCTACGAGTAAATGGAAACTGACATTATTTTTTATAAAACAATGCGCCTACGAGTAAATGGAAACTGACATTATTTGTTTTTAATATTTTTGTCATTCTGCTATACTGCGTTAATGTTGTATCAAAACGGTTATATTATTCCATTGTATACGCTTTTTCTGTTGTATTATTGACGTACAGGTGTTGATGGTGGCGAGTCTAATAGCATACGAGCCACCTACATACGGGAACTATGTATATCCGGGGTGGGCGGAGGATGCAGGCTGGATATACGCTGTCCTTCCCATAGTACCATTCTTCACTGCAGGATTTTCTGTCCTGTACAATGCACCAGGGAAAACAGTGTATCAGGTAGGTATTTGTTTATCTTATGATATATTTATTGCATCAAGGACATTTTGATGGAAAGGCCATATTGTATAGCATTTTCGTATATTTAATTGTCGCATTAATTCGGGAATAGCTCTGCTTGTGGTGTTTTACATCTGATGAGGAGCCAGCCACGTCATATAAAAGTGGCAATGAATTTTAAACTTTCCATTTTAACGTTTTTATTTTTCAAACACGAATTTATACTGTCAAATAAGTACAAACATGTATATAGCAGAACGTAAAAATTATATAATAGTCAAAAAACTTTGAAGTGATTGAGGAATGCATAGTGGTATTTGTTTATACCAAATCTTGATTGCCGGGTTTAATGTATAAACTAAAAACCAAAAAGAAGCTTACTGCCACCTGTATATTCACAATGTGATTCAATTAAAAACTTTTCGGTATTTTGTTGTTTATATTTCGATAGTTTGATAGAAAGGCCATATTGCATAGCATTTTCGAATATAATCTCATTAATTCTGGATTGCTTATTGTTCAATTTAAATTAATTGTCGCATAAATTCGAGAATAGCTTTGCTTGTGGAGTTTTACATCTGGTGAGGAGCCAGTCACGTCATATAACAGTGGTTATGGATTTCAACTTTCTATTTTGATGTTTTTATTCTTCAAACACGAATTTATACTTTCAAATAAGTACAAACATGTATATAGCAGAACGTTAATATTATATAATAGTCAAAAAACTTTGAAGGGATTGAAGAATGCATAGTGGTATTTGTTTATACCAAATTTTGATTGTCGGCTTTGATGTATAAACTAAAAAAAATCCGCTTACTGCCACCTATTCAAAATGTGATTCAATTAAAAACTGTTCGGTATTTTGTTGTTTATATTTCGTGAACTGAAACATGTGATTTATCATGACGTTTTCACACATGTTTGTAATCCTCTACAGAAGTTACGTCAGTCCGTACTGCCCACAGAAGACTGGCATCCGTCAGTGGACAAAGCTGATTACCTGGCTCTCCCCTGGAATACCGGCGGTACCTTTACACAGAGGTGTCTCTTCAACCTCGGATTGAGAAAACAAAGTGCTGTAGTCTGCGGAAATCTTCATCAAGAGACTTAAACGTCCTTTTTAACGCAATTTTCAAATGACAAAGTCATCTTTAGAGCGTCTTAAGTTTGTTATTTTCTTCAATCTTGTGAAGAACACGCTAATATTGTTAATGTACTCGTTTAAGTATAATAAAAACAGATGTTCTATACATTGTTATAAGACGTCTATATACACGTAATATAAATGTCTTAGCGTATTAATACAATACAGACCAGAACTACAATATCCAATGTAAACAAACATTCCCATCTTCAAATATTCATTAGGAGATAAACACATCCCACATGAGTGAACACCAGTTCATGCATTGCCATCCAGGCAAATAAATGGATGAGGTAAATCAACTTATTTAGTGACTAATAACTATGCTGTAAGCTAGTTTAGTTTTCCTATCGTGATGTTTCCTTTCTTGAAGTCAGCATTCCTGTTTTCTAAACCTGTATTGTTTACATGTCACTTTTGATCCTGTATTGAAGGGTTGCTGAGAGTATCACATGTTCCGTGATAGTTGTCGACTACTGACGGACAAACTGTACAATACAGGGTTTCCGTGATAGTTGTCGACTACTGACGGACAAACTGTACAATACAGGGTTTCCGTGATAGTTGCCGACTACTGACGGACAAACTTACAACACAGGGTTACCGTGATAGTTGCCGACTACTGACGGACAAACTGTACAATACAGGGTTTCCGTGATAGTTGTCGACTACTGACGGACAAACTGTACAATACCATCGATTGGGAGATGCAGGTTGGTGAAGACTATGGATTACCCTTTAGGAACATTTAGTTTTATTCGTGTACTATTTCAAGGGCTTCCGTGTAAATCTCATTCGTTCATATTTCACCCTAGGTTTTTTTCGTTCATATTTCACCTTAGTTTTTTCGTTCATATTTCACCCTAGTTTTTCGTTCATATTTCCCTTTTACCCTATTAATTTTGTTCGCTTTTGAGTTCTAGTTACTGTTGTGTTAATACTTTGGCATAGCACGAAAATAGTCAACTGACGAACGTGTTGGACAAATTCAAATATAACATCCCAGCCAGGACGATGTGCTCGAACCTGACAACAGCGCCTTCTCGACTGTTACTTACATAGTGAAGCAGAATGCCGTTGTGTTCTCATCTCCAAAGGTCATCTGGTAACCGAAGGGATTAGCGAATTAAATTGAATCATACCGGAAACAAATTCCGTGGACCAAGGGACATACATAATTATGTTGTAGTAATCTCCGTTCCAAACCAAATTAATTCGATAGTGGAATGTTTGACGTAGCAGGTGGGTGAGTATATATTAAACGTAGATTATTAAATTCAATTATATTCATACCCGGGTTAGACATGGAACTTTGCGACTGAAGTGACTTTTTCGACTTCTTAGTATTTTGGGGGACATTGTGTGCTTTTCTTGTTGCTACCCTAACCTTTGGTGTAGTGTCAAGAACATAGTTTGAACAAAGTGAGCTTGCCGGTTGTTTTTTTTAAAACGCACACCACGAAGGATACTTGCAGTATTTCTTATATTTTTATTCTAATATTATCGTTTCGCCATACTGTGCTAGTTTTTGTATCCAACTGTTATATTCTCACGTACAGGTGTTGATGGTGGCGAGCCTTATAGCATACGAGTCACCTACATACGGGAGCTATGTGTATCCGGGGTGGGCGGAAGATGCAGGCTGGATATACGCTGTCCTTCCCATAGTACCATTCTTCACTGAAGGCTTTTCCGTCGTGTGCAATGCACCAGGGAAAACAGTGTATCAGGTAGGAATTTGTTTATCTTATGATATATTTATTGAATAAGCACATTTTGATGGAATGGTGATATTGTATAGTATTTTCGAATATAAATAAATCAACTTTGGGGTTATTTAGTATTCGATATAAATAAAACGTCGCTTATATTTAGTATTAACTTTACTTGTTGGTTACCAAAGCAGGTGATGAGTTAATTTAATTATTTAGAAATGGCGATGAATATCATCTTTCTGTTCGTTCTTCAAACGCGATTTCATATTTGAAAAGAAATACAAACACGTACATTCACTATAGTAACCAAAACGAATGAAAACTTTAAAGAAGTTGAGGAATATACAGCGCTACTTGTCTCTACTTCACTTTGATTTTTCTGTTGTAATGTATTAATTAGCACTACCGCATGCATATTCTTAATGTAAATATAATCAAACACCTATCACTGCTCTGTGGTTTATATTCCATGAGCTGAAACATGTGATTTATCATGACGTTTTCACACATGTTTGTAATCCTCTACAGAAGTTACGTCAGTCCGTACTGCCCACAGAAGACTGGCATCCGTCAGTGGACAAAGCTGATTACCTGGCTTTCTCCTTGAATACCGGCGGTACCTTTACACAAAGGTTTCTCTTTAACCTCGGATATGGGAAACAACGTGCTGTAGTCTTAGGAAATAGTTATCTAGAGACTTAAACGTCCCTTAAAACGGAATTTTCAAATGGCAAAATCATCTATAGAGCGCACTATGTTTGTATTATTCGGTAATCTTGAGAAGAACATGCGAATGTTGTAAATGTACTCGTATAATAAAAACAGATATTCTACAAACCTTTGTAAGACGTCTATATACACGTAATACACGTATATAGTTACATTTGCATGGCGTTGTCACTATGTAATCTATTTGACAGTTGTGTCGTTGATGGGACTTAAATGCCATACACCACAAGACACACTTCTTAGCGTATTAATACAACACAGACCGGAACTACAATATCCAATGTAAACAAACAGGGCGGCTGCTGAACTAGCGCAGGGCATTGTGAGACTTGACAATGCAATTTTAAATATATAAAACTTCGCATTATGACGTTTGTTTGCAAAGTTGTGTCATTCAAATATATCATAAATGCCATACAAAAACAGTTCAATGATTATATAAGTAAGATATAAACTTATAACTAGCAGCTTCCACCGGTTACAGTGCTTTTCAGCTTTCTTTCTAAAGAGACAAAATCATGACATTATAATTACATGTCATACATAGGATTAGTGGACACCCTATCAGATATGCATTTGACATCAACAAAGGAAACAAGGAAAGTGACGTCTGCATTTGGATGCGTTTTTAGATTGGAAAATGTTCAAATTTGATCTTAGAGTGGAAAGAGCTGGTGACTCAGTGAGAGCCTTAATAATGGCAGTTGAATTGTAAAATTCTCTGTTGAACATGTTGCATTTAAAAGGAGATACCTGTCATCAAAGCTGAGTAAAAAACATTGACAAGAAGTCAAAACTAGTATGATAGCATTTTTATGATTTCCAATCGCTAACTTTCCCTTTCTTGATAATAACATTCATGTTTACCTCAACAATGTGTTACCATGTAAAAGCTGATTTAAAGTTTATGGGTTTACTTTAAATATCACGATTCTACTACAATTGATTAAGACGCTAAAAGACGAATCTTTATCGACGACTCATCAAATAGAAAAGGATAATAAGAGGCTGTTATCCACAGTGATGCGATATTAAGATAAGCCTTTCCCAAGTACCTGTCTGTAGATTGTAAGTAACCTTGTCTGCGGCACTATTGTGACGTCATAACTACTTTTTATAACATATTGATTGAAAACGTCACAAACGACAATAGACACATTGGCATTCAAACTAATAAAATGGACAAAAGTAGTTTTTTCTAAAGTATTTGACGAATTCCAGGAAGCTGCAAAAGTTCATGAACTGTCTTCTTGATGATGCAGATAAGTGGTATGCATTTTTTGTCAATAATATTTTGGACAACCCTTCGGTAGACAGATTGTGGATCATTAGTGATATTAAAGTATAGTTTTTATTATTCCATGGAAGAGTTCGGGACAATGTGTGAGTCATTCGTTTTTATATCTATGAAAGATCTAGTTTAAAAACTTAAATGTGAAATTTAATCCTTTATACACAATTACAAATATCATACTTCAACAAAGATGGCGACCAACAAAATGAAACAAGAAACAAGACATTTAATTTAGAAAAAAAGTCCAAATTTGAATCGATTTAAAGAATCCCTTAAGTATTATTCAGCATCGCAAAACAATAAAACAAGTTTGCTCCTTTTAAAATAGTCGTTATACGGCATCATTGAGATAGACAACATACACATATGTAGTACATGTATTTCCATTATGATATACTCTCTGAATATTATCTTACAACAGTTACTAGGAGGTATGCTTCAATAGATAACAAGAATGATTCGCAACATTGTACGCATATGTTGCGTACTAAGAGTCGTTTTAAAGAGAACTAATACAAAAGCCAAGTATGTGACGCCCGCACATAACGGACTTATTTGATTAGACTTTTGATATCTGGTATTATAATGTTATCATAAGGAGGAACCGATTTGAAATTCTTTCCTCATGTTGAACTGTTATATTATAATATCATACACGTATTTAAAAGAGGAGAGAGAGAACACTCAAGTGCCAACACATTATAATCCGAACTCACGATAGATAAAACTAGGGCAAAATATGACCAAAAGGAAAGCTGAACATGGATACCATTGAAAATATATATAAGGAGAAAAACACCAAGTGTTCTGGAGAGGTAAGTGTAAATCCAGGTCATATTCAAGTAATGTCACGTCTTCATTTCGAGGATTCGGGTAGTGACAATAATACCACATGGCTTTAGTGATTGCACCGTTAAATATATTGATTGGTAATATATACATTAAGCCAAAAATGAATTATACTGCATCATACACTTGTTTCGTCAACTCATCAGAGATGCTAGAGGTAAAAAGGATGAAAATACCAATCGGTCTAAACTGCTGTTGAAACAGAAGGAGGAGATGCATAAAAACCCTTAATTATAGGAATTTCATATATTTGTCAAGTACCAGATCATTAAAAATGACATGACAAGTAAAGTGCATATATTATGAAGCATGCCGCTATTACAAAATCATTTCTACGGCCATCAAAGTTAGGGCAAACTCGGAGACTAAGAAATTCATCACCAGAGTCAATATCCTTGTATCTTGAAAGTTGAATTTAACACACGGGGGCTGCCGGCATAAACAAACGCGTCCGGAAAT